AGACGCTCTTCCCAGCCCTTCCCAGCTGCAGTCAGTGGTTCTCTCCATTCCTTGGGTCTCTCTCAATTTGGTGTCTTTTTTTTTTTTTTTTTTTCCGGTACCGGGAATCGAACTCACGACCTTCCGCTTGCCAGGCAAGTGCTGTGCCACTGAACTAAATCCCCAGCTCCCCCCGCCCCCGTGAAACATATTTCAAAGGATGTAGATGAACAGCCACATGAAAAAGTAAATAGGCGAGGAGCTTCTGTCTCTCTCTGGATGCCTACGCACACCTCTGTGTGTTTGGCAATCTGAAAGCTCACTGTAGACTTGTTGGGTTTTATGGCAGCTTCATGATTGATGGGCATGATCGACTGTATCGTTGGCTCTTGGTGATGAGTCTGCCTGCAGCCTCTCTGCCCTCCCTAGAGGGGGGGTGATGGAGCCTGTAGTGTCAGCCCTTTAAATACATAATTGGCTTATCCCCATCCTAAGGCTACCCAGGAGCCCCAAGCCATCTGTTCTTTTAGTAGAACAAAAGGCTCTTCTGTCATCCAAAAAATTCCAAAGGATTAGAGCTTTGTGGAGTCAAAGACCCAACTATTAGCAAGATTCTCCAAGTGCCCCAGTGTACAAGAATTTATGGAGCTCTGTGTGAGAAACCGGGGCCAGAAACCAGTCTGTATTTACCGTACACGACCCATCTCATTTCATGCAATCATAGGAAGTCTCTTACTTAAGGTATGCTTCGTAAATGTGTCTAAGTGGCACATGTAACAACTGAGAGCACCCAGTCTGCCTGTCCCCATGGAACTCTTGCTCTCCCTCGCTGTGTTGTACACCACACGTTATGTTAAGACCAGGTATACAGACCCAATGAGGAGACCTGTGACAGTCTGTGTCCTGAATGCGTACAGTGTTTAATTTCCCCTTGTGGTAAAAATGTAAGTGTAATTACAGGTTCTGATACTGTCCTCTTGCATCCCAGTTGGCATCTTGCCTTTCTTGGAGTGTGTCCGTGCCACTCTGGAGACCTTTGGACTCAAACACCTGTTTGGAGGAAGTTATTCATAATCCCAAGATGCAAATCTAAAGAATTATGTATATTTATATCTATTCCACATATATGTATGTGTGTTTTTTAATATATAATTTGATTGCCACAGATCTTTGGGAAAAATGTATCATTCTGGTAATAATAAGCCTAGAAAGACTTCCCTAGCACATATCCATTATGAAAACCAGGTTCTTAAACTGTCTTCAGTGATCAAGTATCTGATAAGTGCTTGGGAATGGTATATCGTTTAATCCCAGTAGTCTGGCTTTTATAGGATGGATTCCGATTTGAAATACACTGTTGTGAAGTACTGTGGTTATTTTATGACACTTTGATTTTTTTATCTTTAACTTTACAGAGACTGTGCAGTTGATCCAACTTGTGTTTTGTGCATGGAGTGCTTTTTGGGAAGTATTCACAGAGACCATCGATACAGGGTTAGTAATGTCCAAATAATCAACATACACAGTATTGAATTTTATACTAAACACCTTTGCTTTCTTTTTAAAACTCAAAGATTTAACACTAAAATGAGAAGAATGGTTTGAAAAATGTGTTCTTTAGGGCTAAGGATGTAGCTTAGTGATAGAGTGATTGGCTAGCATGAGCCAGGCCCTGGGTCCTATCCCCAGCATACTTACCCCACCCCAAGAAAAGATTCTTTAAACACCATTAAACATCTGATGACTTTATAGAATTACTAATCCACTCTTCTTGGAAAACATGGTTCAAGAAAGGTAGCACAGATATCAACTCCTCTGCATTTTGTTTTCAACTAGCTTGTTTTGAGGGTTTGTTTGTTTGTGACAGGGTCTCGCTGTGTAACCCAGACGGACCTTCAGTTAGCTCCTATGCTTACGATCCTCCTGCCTCAGCCTCCCGCCTCAGCCTCCCAAGTGCTGGGATTATAGACATATACCCCACACCCAGCTCCATATTCTTGAATGTTATCTTTATTGTCATAAATTAGTAAGAGAATCTCAGCCCATTGTGGTTCTGCGTGCCTGTAAACCCAGCACTTGAGAGGTTATAGCAGAATTGTGAGTTCAAGGCCCACCTGGACCCATATAGTGGGACTCTTGTCTTAAAGAGAAGAAAAAAAAAAAGTAACAGAATCCAGTTTCCTTGGAAAAAATCCTAGTTTCGTTTAAGTGGTTCTGTTATTCAGGGATAGAAGCACATAAGCTATTAGGTAGGGTTGTCATTGTCCAAACAGCTGCCTGCTCCTGTTCGTTGGTATACATTTGTACATCCCTGCTCAGTGGCACAGTGCCTGCCTGGCAAGTGCAAGGTCCTGAGTTCAATTCACGGTACCAAAAAAGAAAAAAAGAACATCTGTGCATCCCTGGCAGTAACTGAAATGTGAGAGATTCCATTCATTATATCACTATATATGACACAAATACTATTTAGGCAAAATATAACAGTACTTACTCTAAAATTCACTGTTTCGGGGCTGGGGATTTAGCTCAGCTGCAAAGCGCCTGCCTGGCAAGCTCAAGGTCCTGAGTTTGGTTCCCGGTACCGGAGAAAAAAAAAAAAAAAAAACTAAAATTCACTGTTTCTAGCACCCATTCCTAAGCTCTTCCTCAGAGTATTGTAAGAAAAGCAGAATTTCTAGACTACCAGTTATTAGCTAATCAGTTCTATCTTGTCAGAGTTCTTAAAGTATTACTGTATCTTAGGGAAGTACGATCAATTCTTGAACCTCACAGGTGGTGAAAAGTTTTTGTGACCAGTCTACTGTGTATTTCCTGAGCCCGTTACCTGTCCTGTCAAAGAGCAGCTTTTTAGGGAATGTTAAAGAATCATAAACTACTTCTACAGTCCCTACTGGTTCCTTGCTGTCCCCTTAATAGACTGCTCTGGGGGACAGCAGCTAAAGGGGTCTTTATAACCTGACTGTCTTAGCGTTACCACCTGCTGGCTGGGTAGCAGCATTATCCCGTGTAGCCAAACCCAGCAGGAGCCCTCCTGAGCCTCTGACTCCTGGTTAAGGCAGCCATGTAAGAGACAAACCCTCTTTAAAATGCCTGTAGTTTACTCAACACTGCCAAATGGCTTGCTTTGAAATCACTTAGATTAACCTGTGGCTTATTTAAAATAAACTTTAAAACATTAAGAAGCTTGGCGTTTTACTTAATCCCTCCAGAAAAGCTCCCTTGCACAGCGTTGCTCCCCGAGCATGTGATGTGGTTTTTATCGGTTACCTGACAGCACTCGGTACGTGCGTTCTGACGGCAGACTTCACGTTCTTTCTTCAAGATGACAACTTCAGGAGGTGGCGGTTTCTGTGACTGTGGCGACACCGAAGCTTGGAAAGAAGGTCCTTACTGTCACAGACATGAGCTTAACACCGCTGGAATTGAAGAAGAGGAGGTAAGAGCGCTTTCACAAACTTGAAATAGTAAAGGAAGTGCTTTAAATATTACAAGAAATTGGAATTCGATTATATGAGAACTGGATAAGCTCACGTCCTATTACCTGTAACTAAGGGCTTTGAAAGTTCTTTGGATTTCGTGGCTGCTGTGCCATCACCGGTGGTCTGCGTGTGGAATTCTGAAAATTTAGTTTAATTCAAACGGTTTTCTTAGTTGGGATTTTAAGCATTTTTGAAGACTTTTGCTTAAGCCCTAATTTGCTATTGAAAAGTTTGTTTTTCATTTATTAGTTTTGGTGCATTTGTGTCATAAATAAGACTTTGGAAGCCAAGATAACTTTCTTTTCTATTACCGCACACGACACCCTCGTCTTCCGGGAAAATCAGTACCTTGACTTCATGACCAGCCCGGGTGTGGAGAGAGTAGCTCAGTGCAGATCAGCCTCACTCCACCTGAAACTGCATTTTTAAAAAAATCTTTCCATTTGTACTGCTTTTTTCTAAATGGTATTTGTAATGAAATAACGTGCTCTCACTAAATAAGTGCTTGGATCTGTACTTTTTATGACAATCTGATGTGTGAGTCAAGATCTTTATTTCAGGTTTTTCTACTGTTGATTTCCAGGGAGGTAGGTACTTTAACGTACTCAGAAGGCCTGACATAGATCTCGGACAAGTGGACAAAAATAGTCCTTCCTGGTGCCCGTGTGCTGGAGGTCTCAAATACTTTAACATAATGCCCAAGGCTTTTGGTTTCAGGTGATGTCTTTTAGATAGATCAGGATTTGTACAGAATTGCTCAGTGCTGTGGGGAACAGAAGTTTTGTCCGTGTTTCATCTGTTTTGTGCAAATGTTCTGGAATTTGCTTCAGGAAGAAGTGCTCAGGGTTCCAGATCTCCCTGCCTCTCTCAGAGTAGCTCTGTTTTTTAAAAAATGTCCTTAATTGGAGTTCTGTGTATAAAAATACAAGATAAATTAAGGTGAATTTGAAAAACACACTGATATTTCAGAAAAAGATTAACAGCTACTAATATGAAAGTTTAGGAAATGGTTGGAAATACTTGTATATTGTATATCTAATGATCTGTTATCCAGGATGTACCTCTTACAACTAATAAAAAGAAAAGAAGCCCAATTTAAAAATGGGCATAGGACTTGAATAGTCATTGCTCTGAAAAAGAGTATAAACGGTCTACAAACACGACATCATTAGTCCTTAAGGAACTGCACATCTAAAACCACAGTGAGGTGTCACTTCACTGCTACTAGGAGAGATCCTCCCTGTGTTTACCAGATGCAAAATCCTCCAGACTCTGCCATTTAGTTCCTGTTTAGGAGTTAGTTAGAGAAAAGAAGTCTTCAAGGAAGAGACCGTAAGATAATAAAAGCATCGCATACATGGACCCCACTACAGTATATTCAACCTGCACCTTAGGACAAAGCCGTGGGAACTTGCTAACACCGTTCTGTAGGGATCCTGTGTCGGAGTTCCCCACATCTTCTCAACTGTGAGCATTTTGGGGCAGACATTTCTTCACTGTGTGGGTGAAAGATCAGCAAACTGACCCCACACACCGCATCTTGCCTGCAACCTCTTTTTATCTGGTGTCACAAGCTAAGAGTGGTTTTTCTGTTTTTAAATATTTGGGAGAAAAATCAACAGAAAAATATTTTGTAAAATGTTTTGGAGTCTAAATCTCAGTGCCCATAAATATTTATTGGAACACAGCCATACTTAATTGTTTTATGTATTGTCTGTAGCTGCTTTCCCTACTACAATGACAGAAGAAAGGAATAATTACAGTAAAGACCTTGAGGCACAAAGACTAAAATACTGACTACTGAAAAAGTTTGTTGACCAGGAAAATAGAAGGTTGGAAGCGCTTTGTCTGGCCTGGCCGGCTCCCCATCACTGAGCGCAGTAGCATCTCCCAGCACTGTCACACAGAAGGCAGGCCCAGCCCATGTCCACAAAGCCCCTTGGGCAAGGGGAGAATGGAGGGAGAGGTGTAATACCTCTCCTAGTTGAGAGACCCCACCCACCATATGCTGTTTCCTGTGCTGATTTCCATAGGTTCCTAAGAAGTGTCTCTCAGGCCTCTGCATTAGTAAAGGATATGTTTTTACTGATGTAAATTGGATAACTATTTGTATTGCCTTTCGTTGAGATATCTGAGAAATGAAACAAGTGTTTGGAAGCAGCCCATGTATAATAGCTTTATGGAAATGTAGGTTATCTACATTTATAAATAGATGTTAACTTGACTGTGATTTATTTTCCTACCTTTATTTTCCTTTTGCCTACTTTATATATGTATTTTTTATAAATGTATTTTTAGTGCCACTTTATTATATCAGATGTATTTTTATTATTTTTATTTTTTATTTTTTTTGGTACCAGGAATTGAACTCATGACCTTATGTTTGCTAAGCAGGCATTTGTGCCGCTGAGCTATATACCCCCCGGCCCTCAGATATATTTTTAAATTGCTGTAAATCCTGTTCAGAATAAGATTTAATTAAGTAATAAACTGAATGAACCTTAGCAAAGATTATATAATTTGAAATTTTCATTTATAGATGTCATTCCTATTTCATTTGAATACAGATCCATGCTTATTAATCACTAGATAGTGGACTAAGTACTTGATCTCATTTAAGTCACAAAACAGGCTTAGAGACAGTGCTGTTGTTGATGATTTTTAGATGAAGATACTTGAGTTTTAGATTAAGGACATTCCCCAAAGTGTCCCACATAGTAAGTGCTAGAGCCAGAATTTGAACCTGAAAAGTGCAGGCTCTGATAGTGAAACTCTTTAACCGTACATTATACTGGCTTTTTTGTTTGTTTGTTTGTTTATTTGTTTTGTCTTTTCGAGACAGGGTCTTGATATGCAGTTCAGGCTGGCCCTGAGCTCACTTTGTAGCCCGGGGTGGTCTTGAACTCACAACAATCCTCCTGCCTCAGCTTCCCAAGTGCTGGGATTACAGGTATGCACCACCATGCCTGGCAGTACTGGTTTTTTAAAAAATATTTTTAGCCAGGTGCATGCCTATAATCCTAGCTACTCAGGAAACTGAGGCCAAAGGATCATAAATTTGAGGTTAGCCTAGGTTGCTTAGAGCTATCTTAAAATAACATTTCCAGGGCTGGGGATTTAGCTCAGCGGCAAAAGCGCCTGCTTGGCAAGCGCAAGGTCGTGAGTTCGGTTCCCGGTACCGGAGAAAAACCAAAAAATAATAATAATAATAACATTTCCAAAAAGGTAGAGAGTGTAGCTCATTAGTAGAGCCCTTGTCTGGCATGCTCAAGGGCCTAAGTTCGTCCCCAGTATGAAAACAAAAGAAAGTATGCACCAAGACAGCAGATGAATCTGTATTCCTAGATCTGCCCCCAAACTGTGTTGATACAGCAACAAGCTCAGCAGTTAGTGACTGTCCAGTGTCATGTAACACACTTTAAATGTATATTTCTGTTACCATTTAAATAATACAACTAGTTTACATATTTTTAAACTGGCATGCAATTCAGTAGGAATCCTAGGCCCTGGGATTTTGTAGTTTGGACTGTCTTGGTTAGAATTCTCAAGAATTGGTGATAGTTTCTGTCCAGAACCATTAAATTTATATAATCCCTGACTTTCGTGATTGCTCAGTCCCTGCGTGCTTTGCATCGAAGGGTGTAAGTGTAAGGAACTGAATGACTGTCTAGTGAGGCACTGTCATCCCAGCCAGTTTTGGTTCTGTTTGCTGTTTCGGTGTAGTGTGAGGTTCACATTATTATTAATGCCTACTCTTTTTTTTTTTTTTAATCCTTACGCAATTGCAGTTGTAGTTCTCTCTGTGCACAGGTGCTTTCACTATATGAGTGACTTCCAAAGCTGACGTCACTGATAATAATGAAGCTTGCAGGTTGCGGGTCTAGGGGACAAAACAACTTGACCTGTTGCTTAACAGGTGTGTGTGACAAGAGCTCTAGTAAAATGGCTGTAGAAATTTGAAAATCTGTTTTTGCTGAGTGTATTTTCTTCGAGCCTTAGACACAACTCCTTTAGGAATTTTTGTGCTTTTTTTTCTTCCACCTTCTCCATTTGTTTAGGTCAGTTTAACTGGATTTATGTGGAGTATTTAAAAATATTCTGCATGTGCACATATGTATTTGGAAGAATATGCCAGTCACTGTTGCCATGATATTGAAACCTGGTGCTTCTCTAAGTTGAGAAATGAATATAATGCTAGCTAGCCATTAAGCTAAATTAAATGTTTAGATTTAAGGTAAGGCATTAAGGTTAAAATTGTATAAAATGTTTTACCAGCCTTAACTGATACCATGATACTATGATAAACATCATGTATATTTAAAGTAGTACCTTTTTATATTAACCTAGAAATTGGGGGACTTATTCACTGTTAAGACTCCTGTCCAAACTACCCTGTTAACATCTCACCCTGTAGACAGAGATAGACCATTGAGTGGTTCTTATAAAATCAAGAAGCAATTTTTTGGCTTTAATGAGTTCTCTTTAAGATGGTCAAAATGAAGCTCTCCTTTAGACCTACAAACCTAATATGACATGTCCACACTTAGCGAGTATTCTTTTTTTATTCTGCAAATTGGGAATTAGGGGATGAAACTGGAAAGATGGGTTGATTTGAGGTTTCAGCAGTCCTGGAAAATCATTTCAGAATGTTTAAATTTATTCATTAGGCATTGGCATTCCTTTGAATATTTTGACTCATGTGATTGAAATTGAGGATATTCTGAACAAAACATTTTAGGAGGTTCGATGTAATAGGTTGAAAAGTATAGGATTAAATTCAGTGAAGAGAAGTTGAAGGTGGACAACCTAGCAGCTTCCTCTGTAGTATTTTGAGAGGTGGAGACAGACAGAACAGGAGAGAATCAGTGTGTATTTAACGTGGTTGCACTTTTCCTCTTGTTCTTTCATTCAGGATCCTCTTGTGCATTTATCTGAAGACGTGATAGCAAGGACTTACAACATTTTTGCTATTATGTTTCGGTACGCAGTGGAGATACTAACCTGGGAAAAGGAAAATGAATTGCCAGCGGATTTGGAAATGAAGTAAGTGTACCCGTTTATTCTTGTGTAAGAAGACTGCCAGATTGTAACTTTCATACAATGATAGGACCTAAGGGGTTTTGGGGTTTTTTTTTTTGTTTTTTTAAATATTAGTTTTTAGAAGAAAATAACAGTGTTACAGTTTTAAATATGCATGATTCGCTTAACGGCGAAAGTTTCTCAGATCTGTTGGTTAGTTCGCTCGTAGCCATGTTTAGACTGTGTCAAGACTGTGAGTGGTTTCAGGCATAAACAGTTTTTTCTGATTAGATGAAAACTGATAAGTGAAAGTACAGCTCTTCTCTTTGTTTCCTCTGTACGTTAGAGAATCAGCTCTTTCTGAATAAGTACTCAAATTCAGTTTTAACAGTTTTGATTCTAATTATAAAATGTTCCGTACTTCGTGCTTTTTTAATGTACATGTGCCATTTTTATTTAGGTTATTGAGGTCACAGACTTGTTACCAGAGAGCTGAATTTTGCCATGGCTTGGGCTTACTTTTTTTTTTGTTAATGGGCTTGCCCCAAACAACCTTCTCTTTTACTAAAAAGTAAAGGCAAAGTTGTTGGCATTGTATTCACTGCTAAGGTTGAATTCAGGCTGCAATGAAAAATTGAAGGACGTTGATACTTCTTTTGGTTATTCAGTGTGCTCCAGGTAATTGAGATTGTGGATGAAGGGATTTTCAGTACAGATTTTGAGAGGTTACTGTACTCTGCGTTTTTAGAAATGTTAAAATTACTTTTGTATCTTCATGAAATTCAGGTTGAGTTTCTTTAATCTAAAATCTGAGTTTTGTCAAGCATGGTGGTGCAGGCCTGTAATCCGAGCACTCCAGAGGCTGAAGCAGGAGGATCACCTCAAGCTGAAGGCCAACCTGAACTGCATAGTGAGACCCTGTCTCAAAAAAAAAAAATCTGAATTTAAAACCTAAAAATAGAATAGTATCTGGCTTCTATGAGTTTGTGACCTCAATATTCTAAATAAAAACAGCAGGTATATACTAAAAAAAGCACGAAAGGGAAATCTGACTTGCTTCACTTCTAATGTTTGTACCTCAGTCTGCCGAGAAACTTGAGTCCCTTGTGCCCATTTAGATACAAAGTCTGGTGCTTCTCCCTTCAAATTCTGCTTCTGCTCATCTTCATGTCTCCTGTACCTGGAGGCCATAGACACTTGCCCTGCACAGTTCGTTTTCCATACTACAGCCAAAGTGAAATTTTAAGGCAAATGTGATCATATATCTTCTGTTTCAGATCTTGCGAGATTTTCGTGATCTCCTCTCTCCAGCCCAGAAGGACCTCATTTCCATCTCCCTCTCCTTCCCTGTGCTCCAGTTCGGCATCACCCATGCCACCTTAGCGCTTTCGCTTTCTCCTTCCCTTAATTACCCCAGGCTTGCTCAGCTTTGGCACCATTGGCATTTGGGGCCAGGTGAATTATTTGTCCTGGGAAGTGCCTGGTAGATTGCAGGGTATTGAGCATCGTTCCCAGCCTCTACCTGCTAGGTGCTTATAGCACCCCGAACCAGTGACAACAGCCAGAAATGTCTGCAAGCGTTGTGCGATGGTCACCTGAGGGAGGGGAAGGGGAACTGCCGCAGTTGAGACCCAGTGATGCCAAGTCTGACTTCGATGCTCAGATCAGTTCTCCAGCAGCTCTTACCTGAACGCCAGACCTCAGATTCCCTGCTGTAGCATCCTGCTGCTTTCAATAAGAGCCAGTGGAGGGGCTGGGGATTTAGCTCAGCGGCAAAAGCGCCTGCCTGGCAAGCGCAAGGTCTTGAGTTCAGTTCCCGGTACCGGAGAAAAACCAAAAAAAAAAAAAAGAGCCAGTGCATTTGGAGCCCTTTGTTCATGTCTGTTTTCCCTGCCACACAAGAATTGTAGTGTCACAGAGTGTGGAGACCCAGCTGCCTTTTTCACTGATGTATGTATGCCCAATCCCTAGCACATTCTGTAGGGCAAAGGATTCTCTTAATAAGTGAGCCTGGAGCACAATAACGCACAAATGGATCGCCCAAGGCATCATTCATTTTTGATCCCACAGAGAGAAGAGTGACACTTACTATTGCATGTTGTTTAACGACGAGGTCCACACCTATGAACAAGTTATTTACACTCTTCAGAAAGCTGTGAACTGTACACAGAAGGAAGCCATTGGTTTTGCAACTACAGTAGATCGGGATGTAAGTTCATCATGTTACTATCATAAATTAAACTGTTACTACAGGTAGGTTACCCCAGAAAATTGAGTTAAACGTATAGATGTCTAGGCCAGTGGTGCATGCATGCTTCAGTGGACTGTTTGTATCATTGAAAGCTCTAAAACATTCGCTGTTACTGGAGACTGTTTTTTTAAAATTTTATTTGAATATTGGCCCAATTGTGTATTTGTATAATTGTAAGCTATTGACAAAAGTTTAAAAAGAAAATAGTTACCCTATTCTACTCAGTGATTAAAAACACTCATCTATGAAAAAGAAAATTATAGAAACCTAGTAGAATAATTGTTGTCTAGTTTGAAGAAATACACTTATTAATAGCTTTAGAGTAAAGAGACCTTTGAAGGAAAATTTTAATTTACTTTTCATTGACAAGTGGGGTGAATATTGTAAATATTAAAAATTGACTAGGTTTGTTGCATGTTCAAGCAATTATTTACCCTTATAATGCTGAACATGGTATCTTTACAAAGTAACTTCAGGTGTCTTATATTCACAGGGGCGTAGGTCTGTTCGATTTGGAGACTTCCAGTATTGTGAACAAGCAAAATCAGTGATTGTGGTAAGTAATTTTAAAACATGTTAATAATACCATTTTATTCGCTTAAGGCTAGCTCCATATTTCAGCATTTAGAAAAATATGTTTTTGTTTTTGTTTTGAGACAGGGTCTTGCTCTGTAGTTCATGCTGGCCTTGAACCTGGCAGGTAGCCCAGGCTGGCCTCTAACTCGGTGCAGTCCTCCTGAGCCTTCCGAGGGCTGGGATCATAGGAATGCCATGACACCCAGCTTAAAAAATTTTTTAAATAATGTTTCTTAAGTATTGAGTTACTTTTGCTCCTTTAAGCTATGTAAGAATAAAAGAAAATGAATATTTAGATAAGGTGTACTTTCTCTGTCATCCTGTTTATCAGAGAAGTCTCTAAAAAGCTTTTTGTTTTGTTTTTAATTAATGTTTTTACTCTAACTTTTAGTCATTAAATTGGCCTTTAGAGCCAAGACTAGAGTCCGGGGAAGGTTCTTGGTACATTATACCAAGATATACTCTCTTCGAATAGCATTTATTTTTTTATTTGTTTGTTTTGTTTTGTCTAATAGCATTTAATGTATTATTTTTCTAAGAGAAAACTATTTTCCACTTTTAGATTTATTTTTTAAAGTTTTTTAACTGTGCCATATAAGTTGCAATTTATATAATTTTTCCTTTTAAAAATAATTTTACATATTATAAAAGAACTTTAAATACACAGACAGAAATAAAAGTAGCATGAACACCTGTAGGCCTACATTATGTCTTATTTTCTTCGTATTTATTTTCAATAAATAAAATAATATAAAGGACTCTTGTTATCCTTCTTTAAAGATGACTACTTTCATTACTTCACTTTTTCACTCCCATGCTTGTGTTTGTATTTCATGTGTTACACGCTACCAACCTTGTCTGTACTGATGCAGAGGCCTTTAAACATCATACAAAGCCAAGCATGGCAGTGCATGCCTCTAGCACCCTCATAGGCTGAGGCAGGAAAAACGCAGGTTCATCCCTAGCCTGGGCTACTTGGTGACTTAGTGAGACCCTGTGTCAAAATAAAATAAGGGATTGGGATGAACTTTTCAGACCTTTTTTTTTTTTTTTTTTTAACATTTTTTTGTTTTGTTTTGTTTTTTTTACTCCGGTATCGGGAACCGAACTCACAACCTTGCGCTTGCCAGGCAGGCGCTTTTGCCCCTGGGCTAAATCCCCAGCCCCCGGGATGAACTTTTCATATGACTCTTACAATTCTGCCTAGAAAGTTAGAATCTGCGTCAAGTGAGGCAAAATAGTGTTTTTCTTTCATAGACAAAGAACTCCGGTGATGATGTGGTATTAACTTCTTATATAGGGGCTGGGAATTTAGCTCAGCGGCAAAGCGCCTACGTGGCAAGTGCAAGGTCATGAGTTCAATTCCTGGTACTGGAAGAAAAACAAAAAAACAAAAGCTTCTTATACAGTGTAACTTTCTGTGCCAATAAAATAGCCTTTTTAAGTTATTTTTTTTCATCTTGTCATTTCTTTTTAAGAGAAATACCAGTAGACAGACAAAGCCACTCAAAGTTCAAGTTATGCATTCATCTCTTGTTGCACACCAGAATTTTGGTTTGAAGCTTTTGTCTTGGCTGGGAAGTATCATTGGATATTCAGGTAAGTTCATCACTAACTGATAAGTGAACTCTTAGGCCCTGGCAAAACTGTCTCTGGCAAAAATATCCAGTGGAATAATTTTTTCCTTTAATTTCACATTTTAAAATCACCCAGGAATATCTTTGTACACAGAAAATCTTTATTTACCTAATTTTGACTCATAAGATTTTTAAATGTACACCCAAGGATTCTCTGTTCAAATAGTGCAGGGAACATTGGGTTAAAATTATAAACAACTTTCATATGCAGTATAATATAAATAACTTAGAATGTTTTTAGAGCCTGGTGCAGTGATACATGCTTGTAATCCCAGCACGTGGGAGGCTGAGGCAGGAGGATCACTGCTGGCTTAAGGCTAGTCTAGGCTACATAGTGAGTTCAAGGCTAACCTGAACCACAAAGTGAGACCTTGTCTCAAAAAAATTTGAAAAGAATTTTTTTAAATGGTGCATCATGTGGACCCTTTCACAAAGTGTTCTAGAAAACACTATTTGTAAATAAAACTTAATAATAAGCAGTTGGAATGATAAAATACTAATGTTGCTATCTTTGATTCCTCTAACTTTAGGTCACCAATAATTTACAACTCTTGAAAATTTGCACATTGGAGGTTACTGATGTATATTTGTTTGTTTGCTTGCTTTTCCACAATCTACAAATAAGATAATTTATAATATATCAGTAATGTAATCGTGAACTCTTTGTCCAAAGCCAGAAAATACACTTTTGATGTATATAACACAGAAGGGGAAATGAGGAATAGTGCTAAGTCTTCAGGGAAGACTATAGGTAACTGGTACTCGGATGTTGTTGTAAAGACCATTCCTAAGACATCTGTATTGAAGGCTGTTGGAATGAGCATTGCAGCACTAACCTGAAAATACGAAGATGAGGAAGTTTAGGGTGTTTGCTTGCTGTTTAAGTGTCTTGCAGATTATTTTGTCCTTTGGATGCCTTTATGCCAGCCACTGTGCTATAGTGTTCATGGGTAGCCCCATGAAAGTAATTTTCTGCTAAAAGTTTTCCTAGAGATATTTATCTTTAGTAATTTAGGGAATTTGTCTTAGAGGCACTCTCGTGGCAGATCCGCAGTGAACTTTTGTTTAATGAATGAATAACGTTTGGCACAGCGTTCATGAAGTATACTGGTGTATATTACAGTACGGGAGTTATGTGTGCTTTCTTTTAAATGGTGACACAAGTTTATATTATACCTAACTTCAGCTGTCATGGAGCATATAAAAGCTTTACTGTAAGCTGATTTAATTAGCATAAGCACTTAAAAACAATATTTATTTCAGTATTGTGGGATTTTCTCTTTAAACTCATTGGTACGTAAAAGGGCATTTCCTTTTTTTCTTTTTCTTTTTTTTTTTTTTGTCTTTTTGAGAAAGGGTCTTGCTATGCAGTTCAGGCTGGCCTTGAGCTCACTTTGTAGCCCAGGCTGGCCTCAAACTCGCAACAATCCTCCTGCCTCAGCCTCCTGAATGCTGGGATTAACAGATGTGCACCACCATGCCCGGCCTGACATTTCCTTTCTGATAGACATTTATTTTGACATTCCAGATTAAGAACTGTGTGTAATTTGAGATTTTGAATTTTTCTCCTTTCTGAGAGAATATTAATAAGATATTTACTGTATTAACCTATTCTGAGTAAATTTTACCTTTAAACTTAACCATGCAAAATGGTACATGCCACCAGATGCGGTAGCACATGCCTTTAATTCTGCACTTGAGAGGCTCAGGCAGGAGGCTCATGGTGAGCTCAAGGCCAGCCTGAACCTACACAGTGAAACCCTGTCTCAAAAAAACAAAAAAAGAAAGAAAAATAAATAAATAAATAAATATGGCACATGGTTATAATCCCAGCTACTCAGGAGGCTGAGGAAGGAGAATCACAAGTTTATGGCCGACCTGGTCAACTTAGCAAAACTCCTTTCAAAACAAAACAAAAAAAATTTTTAAAGGGCTAAGGATGTAGCTCATTAGTAGAATTTGCATGCACAAGCTCTAGGTTTCATCCTTGGCACCAAAAACAAACAGAAATCCTTGTAAAACTCTATGGACCCATTTGGATATACACTAAACGTCATTTTACTGTAATATTTGAAGTTGCTACCTCTTGATTACTCTCCCTCCTGTTTAAAGATGGCCTTCGCCGGATTTTGTGTCAAGTTGGATTACAAGAAGGGCCAGATGGTGAAAACTCTTCTCTGGTGGATAGATTGATGCTTAGTGATTCCAAATTATGGAAAGGTAAATCTCTTAACTTCTTTTAAGGTAGAGAGTTGGGATGTTAAAGCTCTTCTCATTTGGAAAGATATTTAACAAATACATTCATGTTTTTAAAATGAGCGTTGCAGGGCTAAAGAAACAGCTCAGTGGTCAAGTGTGTACCTAACCTGTGTAAGGCTTTAGGTTCACTCCCCGGCATCAAAAGAGTCATTTAAACTCAGTCAAAAAAAGCATTGTAGTCAGTCTTCGAAAAATACAGATTTTTTTTGAGTCTTGATCCAAATTAAACAGCCTTAAAAAATTTTTAAAGAGAAAAAAAAATAAAAAGAATGATACAGAATTTTAAAACAAGATAATAAGAAGTTGACAATGGTTATTATATTGTATATTGTTATCTTCAGCCTTTAAATTTTGATAAAAGTTACATTTTGAAAACCTGACTTTATAAATAACCAGATTACAAATATTTTTGTGCTAAAGAAAACATGTAGTTTTACTCTTGAGTTTTTAAAATACAGTTGATCACATAAAACCTTTGGAAATGTAATTTTTGGCATATCCTTAATGTAACACCCTGATCTTTTTCTAAAGGTGCTAGGAGTGTATATCATCAGTTGTTTATGAGCAGCCTCCTTATGGACTTGAAATACAAGAAACTATTTGCTATCCGATTTGCAAAAGTAAGTCTTTTCTCAGTTTTAAAGATTAACAGTTGGGCGTGGTGGTGCACGCCTGTAATCCCAGTACTTGGGAGGCTGAGGCAGGAGGATCGTTGCAAGTTCGAGACCAGCCTGGGCTACAAAGTGAGCTCAAGGCCAGCCTGAACTGCACAGTGAGACCCTGTCTCAAAAAAAAAAAAAAAAAAAAGATTAACAAAATAACTGTATCCCTCAGTTATAACCAGACTCCAGAAAATTAGCACCTAATAGAAACATGTCAGTATATCAGTAGGATAAAGTTACAGCAGGGAGACTCCTTGTTCTTTTCCGCCTGCAGTGCCATAAATATCCATCTCCACAGTGTTTGTGATGTGAAATGATAAGTGAAGAATTAAGCTGTTGCAGATTATGCCATTGGTCACGTGGAAGGAAATGATAATCTTAGGTGACACAACATCCATACATAGATATGGTTAAGAACGCTGCATAGTTGATATATTTAGGATTAAGTTCTCTCTTTCAGCAGCATGTGATTAAAGTAGCTGCGTTTTGGGGCCTGGGGATATAGCTCAGAGGCACAGCGCCTGGCAGGCAGACGCAAGGCCCTGAGATCGATAACTGGTACCCCCCCCCCCACAAAAAAAACCCACAAAGCAGCTTTTTTTAAATTTGATTCTTATGAAGTCAGAGTTCTTAACCAAGGCAATGCAGAAGAATCATTTAGAGAGCTCTTCAAAACCCACGTGCTTGTGCTGCATTCCCAGCTTCACTGAGCGGGGCCCAGGCACGTGTGCACTGCAGGTGTCGTTAGATGAGGGTTCTCTCATACCCGGAAGTGGGGCGGTCGGGTTTCATGACAGACCGTGAAGTGAGACTCTGGTCAGCCCCCTGATGCGCAGCGGCACTCAAGTTTTTAGTAGCGATTGTCCCATTTGGGCTCGTGGCATGCTCTTGTGCTCCAGAAGAACCAGTACAGGACGCCACAGACTCCACCATGGAGCATATTTACCTGGAGTTTCTTTTTCTTGGTAGAAGTCATTCCACCTACAGTGTTAGCCTGTTGCCTTCTTCAGATTTGGGCTCTGTGGGTTAGAGGTGGATCTCCCCCTTGTTGTCTAGAATTACCAGCAGCTGCAGAGAGATTTTATGGACGATGATCACGAGCGAGCAGTGTCGGTGACTGCTCTGTCTGTCCAACTCTTCACCGCGCCCACACTGGTGAGTAGTGCTTGCCTTTCCTCTGTCACTCATAGCTGGCACTCCTTGCCTCTTTTTGCCTTCTTAATAGAACTATGAGCGTTTGCAGAGTGATTATGTGACAGATGACCACGACAGAGAGTTTTCAGTCGCAGACCTCTCGGTTCAGATATTCACAGTTCCTTCACTTGTAAGTACTGAAAGACTAGAAGAACTTTCTTGTTTTCTCTTGACAGAAGTAAGCCTTAAGATAATAGAGAACTAAGATCTGTGTACACCTGGATAGAGTAATAACTTACTAATAGGCAACCAGATTTCAGATTCCTGACCATACTAGAACACATCCTTAACATTTAAGGAATTCTGAGGGAAGAGTCATTTAAACTCAGTCTGTAGTTTCTCATTGTACTTTCTGGAGCTTTGCCTTTACTCTTTGACATTTTCCAGTTTACCCTGCCTATTTTCCAGTTTATTAAAAAATTACTTTTTCCCTGGGCATAGTGGTGCAAGTGTATAATCCCAGCACTCAGGAAGCTGAGGCAGATGTGAGTTCGATGCTAGCCTGAGCTACAAAGTGAGCTCAAGGCCAGCCTGAACTGCATAACAAGACCCTGTCTCAAAAGAGACAAAAAAATTTACTTTTTCAGAGCCAGGTATGCTGGCACCTGCTTGTAATCCCAGCACTCGGGATGCTGAGGCAGAGGATTGCCGTGAGTTCAAGGCCAGCCTGCACTGCATAGTGAGACCCTGTCTTTTATATTTATATATACATATATATATATGTGTGTGTGTGTGTGTGTGTGTGTGTGTGTGTGTGTGTGTGTATATGTATGTGTATATATATATATATATAAACTTTTTCATATGTCTACTTCCAGCATTCTAGGAGGCTAATGCCAAAGAATTGCAAGTTCAAGCCCACCTTGGGGCAACTTAGTGACTCAGTTAGGCCCTGTCTCAAAACATAAGAAAAGAGCTGGGGGTCTGTAGCTTAGTCCAGAGTTCCAGGGTTTAATCCCCAGTACCAGGAAAAGAAAAAAGAAAAGACCTTTTCCCTATATCTGTTTTATGTTAGAGGATCTAGTTCAGTAATTTGTCCATTAATGATCTTTTTGTAAATCAAATTAAGGAATTTTGTTTTTATCTTATGATTATACCAGGGTAGTGAAGAATTTCAAATGGTGCTTAAAAACCAACCCATGTACCATTTATAATTTGGGAAATAAATGGGAGAGAGGTAAAAGCAAATTGAGGCACCTACTTAAAAGCTAATGCAGTGATCTAGACAAGGAGGGATGATAACTTGAACTGGGAGGTGGCGGTGGATATGAGTTTTAAGAGGTATTTTTAGGTAGGTAAAAACTACAGAACTGGCCGTGTGGCTTTTTTTGTTGTTTTTTGTTTGTTTGTTTTTGTGACAGGGTCTTGCCATGCAGTTCAGGCTGGCCTGGAGCTCACTTTGTAGCCCAGGCTGGTCTCGAACTCACAACCATCCTCCTGCCTCAGCCTCCTGAGTGCTGGGATTACAGGCATGTGCCACCACGCCTGGCTTTTCTGGCCGTGTGGATTTGAAGGAAGGTTGGGTTTGATGACTGACTAGATACTAGGATTGAAGGAGAAGCATAAGGGTGACTGTGGATTTTCGACTTGCACCTGAGTAAAATCTCCAGCTACATTGACGTGTGTGCTTTACCTTTTTCTTTGATGCGCGTACTGCTTCAGAGGCCTTGCTGTTGAGTCTGGGGGGCCTCTGCCCCTATCTTGTCACCTGTGGGTGGAATTTGCATTTCTACAACCTGTCTTCCATCAGTCAGCCTGACCCTGCTACTTCTGTGACCCGTGGTGTTACAGTGCTTTCTGGCATTTCTGCTACTGTATTAATGTCCTTGATAAGATCGCTAAAATAAATGGGAGCAGCAAGAGTGAAAAGGAGCAGGGGACAGACATATTAGACACAGGGAACTCTCTGTTGTCAAAAATTGGCTTGGTTCTGTCTTCAGTGTTCTCTTAGGGATTATTTAATATTATTAGAAGTGTAGCAGCCATTGGTACACCCAGTAATTTAAATACAGAAGATAGTTAATAGGGAGCCCTGTGAGTAAGTGAACCCAAAGAATTGGCACTGTGTATTCATTTACCACCTTACACTGTAAGTCTTCTTAAGAGTCCATCCACCTGCCTCTCGTGCAGGGCCAGGCTCCCGGTGCACCCATCTGGTGGCCCGCAGGGATTCCAGATCTTGGCCTAACCATAGGAAACGCTCGTTAATGAATTTTACTAACGCCTTAGTTTTCTTGTTCTACTCTCACACATTTCAAGACTACAAATTTTGCTTGATCCTGATTTTAATTAATGCTTTATCATTCTAAGAATATTTCCTTTTCCTCTTCATTTGCTAAAATTGGTTTTGGTTTTGTAGGTTTTAATTTTAAGTGCATGTTTATAATTAAAACAGTGGTGATGGTTTTGGAATTGATACATGCATATAGCATTATTGATGGTCTTCAATCCCTTTACCCAGTCTACGTTTCTTCCTCCCACCTGATTCCCTTCTGTCTTAGACCTTCTAGTTTCCTGTCCTCTCTATTTTATTCATTTACTTATTTACATTTTAAGTTTCTCTTGTAAAAGAAAACGTGTAATATTTAACTTTCAGAGTCTGGCTGAGTAGGATGGCCTCAAATTCTATCTGTTTTTCTGCGAATGACATTTTATTTTTCTTTATGGCTAAATACTTTATTGTGTCTATATCACATTTTCTTTATCCGCTCATCTGTTGACGAGTATCTAGTCTGTTTCCAAAACTTAGCTAGTGTGAATTATGCAGATGTAAACTTGGGTATGCATGTATTTTTGTCCTTTTGAGACAGGGCCTCACTATGCAGTTCAGGCTGGTCTTGAACTCACTTTGTAGCCCAAGCTAGCCTCGAACTCAAAACAATCCTCCTGCCTCAGTGCTAGGATTACAGGCATGTGCCAGCATGCTGGGCAAACATAGTGTTTTGTTTTGTTTTGTTTTGTTTTATTTTTTGTTTTTTTAGTACTGGGAATCAAACTCGTGACCTTGCACTTGCCAGACAGGTGTTTCTGCCGCTGAGCTATATCCCCAGTTTTCTTCCTTTCTTATACTGACTGGGACCTCCAATACCTTGTTGAGTACAAGCCAGGAATAAAGGCAAGAAACTGCATTTCATTCCTGATCCCAGGAGGAAACCTGGTGTTTCACTGCAAAGTATGATACTTTCAGTTTTTGTTTGGTTATTTGTTTGTACTCTTTATCAGAGCCAAGAAATTCCCTCTTACTCCTAGTGTGCTGGAAAATGTTTTTCTTTTAAAGCATTAATAGATGTTTAATTTATGTGCATTTAGGAAGAGCACTAGATGATGTGATTGTGTATTTTTGTTTTTTTGGTATCAAGAATCGAACTCAGGACCTTGCACTTGCCGGGCAAGCACTGTGCCACTGAGCTATAACCCGGCTAATTTTTTTTTTCTTATTGTGTCTCTTAAGTGATTTATGTAAGTTTGCTTAAGTATTTGGAAGAATTCTATAGTATGCCATTTGTGCTTGGAGATTTCTTTGTGGGAATGTTTTTAGACGAGTTAAATTTCTTTAATAGGTATAGCACTATTAATATGTTCTGCATCTTTGTTTGTTTGTTTGTTTGTTTGTTTTCCAGTACCAGGAATCAAACTCATGACCTCACGCTTGCCTGGCACTGTGCCGCTGAGCTAAATCCCCAGCCCCCTACATCTTTTTTTTCTTCTAATAAGTTGTGATTTTTCTTAGGAATTTGCTTATTTAATCTAAATATCCAGTTTTATTAAGTTTAAATTGATCCCAATTTTATCTTATTTTCAATTTAGTATCTTTTTTATCTTTTTTTATTTTTTGTACTAGGAATTAAACTCACAACCTTGAGCTTACCAGACAGGCACTGTGCCACTGAGCTATATCCCCAGTCCTCAATTTTATATCTTCAAGATCTGTAGTTATGTAACATTTTTCTAGTCCTTTTCAAATTTAAAACTTCCCCTCTATTGGAGACAGGGTTTTGCTGTGTAGTTCAGGCTGTCCTTGAACTCAGTGTAGCCCGGCTGGCCTTGGGCTCACAGCCATCCACCTGCCTCTGTCTCCTAAGGAGTGCTGGCATGACAGGCGTGGGCTACCACACTCAGCCCAAATTTAAAACTTTTTATCTTCCGTACTACTCTTACTAAAGATCCATTCTTTTAAAAAATACAGAAATACTATATTTTAGGCTAAAATGTCTTTTGAAAGAGCCAGCTTTTATTTATGTTTTTTCTCTTTCATACATTTGCTTTGTATTGCTTATTTCTACTGTATTTTTTTAATTTCTACTCTATTATTTTCCTTTTTGTACTTTCTGTTTTTATAATTTCGTTACACATGAGATTGTGGACAGAAATACAGCTCTAGGCAGCAGTTAGGTTTTGGGTCTTGCATAACCTCTTCAAGGGGATAGGGTGCGGAGAACAGTCTGAAAAGGAAAGGCGTCTGGGGCTCATGATGGGCAGTGTGGGCAGGCCGCTGGGAAACACACGGTAAACACGGGCGGTTTGATAAGGTTTGTTTGTGAATTCAGGTCAACTTAGGCAGTGAGTTACCCTCTCCTTCCTGGTACTGGGAAGAACACACACATGAAAACGTGTGCTCGCTTGTACTGCTTCTGCTGTTCCTCAGTCATCTTTAGCTCGAAATAATCTTTTTGTCACAGTAGTATGTTCCAGTTGCCTTGAACAGATAGTGGGAGACCGGTGGCCTGCATCAGCTGGGGGACCGCGGGCTGACCGTGGTTGTCCATGTGACGCTCGGGTGCTCCTACACACAGCTCGCCAGGGGCTCCCAGCTGAAAGCGGTGTTGGCACAGCCCTGCCTGCTGTTGCCCCTGAGTGCTGGTCCCGTTTCCTGGCCAAGTGGGGCTGCCGTGTTTTCTCAGCTTTGTTCTTTTAGGCCTCTGCTCTTCTCAGGTCCTCTTCCCGTGGAGCTGCAGTGTTTTACAAATGTCTTGAGGAGAAGGCAGGAAGAAAGGTGGACTCCGCTCCCACCCCCTGTTCTCACTAGGACCCTGGCCTCTCTAACACCCCGCTCTGTGCAGACATTGCTGGCATCTTCCGGGCCCTCCGCCCCGGCAGGAGCCAGATGCCCAGAAGCCATTGTAGGTGGAGGTTCCCTCCCGCACAGCCCCCTTGCTCCATGATTTCTCACTGGAGTCCGAGTGAGGTTTCATGATTTCAAGCCCCCTTTTCCCTCTATTTTGTTCTTTTTGAGTTTTTTGTTCTTGTAGAAGTATGGGTCAGCCTCAGACTGCCCTATCCTGGCAGGAACCTAAGAGCCTTTGCAGTCTCTTGGAAACACTCCATTAGTGATTCTGACGCACATCCCTGCTTTAAAAATAACTTGCCCTAGATATTAGTGAAGGGTTTTGTAACTGTAGTGTCTTTGAATCTGAAGTACCTTACAGTAGTTTAAGCAAGAACAGTAGTTATAATTTAAGTGGTAAGACTGTCATATGTAGTTGTTCCAGGTTTTTTTCTTTTTTTTTACAATTTTTTTTTTATTTAATCCAGTTTATTTCCTTAAATATGCCCCCACAGTCACCATTATCCCTGTAGGACCCTAAAGCATGCAGTTGAACCTAAGTGTGTGCATAGATCATCATGATTAGTCAGTGAAGTTTTTCCGTCTTCGCAGAGAATTCACCCCATTTTGAATAGCTGTTAATGTGCAATGAGCCTGCATTGAAAACCTGAATATAAATTACAAAAAAAGGATAAAAACTGTAGTTACAATAAATGGTGCCCGGTATGGTAGCGTGTGCCTGTAAACCCAGCACTCTGTGGGAGGCTGAATGAGGCAGGAGGACAACTCCAAGCTTAGCCAGGGCAACTAAACAACTTAGCAAAATAAAAAATATTTTTTAAAGGGCACTAGATGTAGCTCAGGGCAAAGGTCTCAAGTTCAGTCCCTAATAAAGAAGGAAAACAAAGATACATAGTGGTAATTTTTTTTAAAAAAATATGGTGGATTGAAGGCATAAAAATTGTCTTTTTTTTTTTTTTCAAATACCAGCATAACTCCCATTTTCATGGGTTTCCCTGATAATTTTTTGGCACCCAGTCAAAGCAGTTAGAACCCAGTCCAAATCTATGCCTTAGGTGAGCCAGCTCTTTAACAATGACCTGAAGCTGAAGATGCTAATACTGGCTTGTGGGCTGGGCTGCAGCCCAGCGGTAGACCCAGTGCTGGGGTTTTCGCCTGGTATGCATGAGGCCTTGGTTCAGTCACCACTAATGCGAAAGAAATGTTAAGTTCCCCCTTCACCACACTTCTTTTTACTGCATAGTCTAAGTCTTGTAAGCTCCATCTACAGTTTGTTCTTAGCTCAGTGAAGCTGAGTCATACTCATTTAACTTCCTCAAACCAACTCACAGAACAAACAGAAAGGAAGAACCTTTCACTTCGCTTATCATCACCTTTTGTCCCTTCAACTTGACCATAGTCTTCACTGGAAATTTTTTTTCCATTCTGTTGGGTTTAATTTCCCTTAGTAAAGTTAGACAGGCTAATTCCACTTTTAATGTCAGTTTTACTCTGTTACCAAAGATCACGATGAGAATGGGAAAGGTCAAGGTGTTTGATGTTACATTGGAAAAAGGCCCATATTTAGGTGGACATACACATTGGTAAGGTTCTTTCAGGAAACACTGGTGATATCAGAATTTATAATACACATATTCAATAATTCTATTTCTAGGAAGTTCTTTAAACTTGCAACTGTACACAGTGAATATTTGTTGCAACATCTTTTGTGCCATCTTAGATCTGGAAACAACACAAATGACTTCACATTAAGGGCCTGCCTACATAAAATATGATACAAAATATACTTACTAACTGTGAAAAACAAGGAGGGATATTTATATTAAGTGATATGAGATGATCTCTAAAAATATATCAAGTTTTAAAAGTATAAAACAGTGTTTATTATGTGCTACCCTTAGGGGAAAGCGATAGGTATACATATTCATACTTGTATATTTAATATACATTTACCCTATATATTGCATATCTGTATGTATAAGTATACACCATCTCTGGAAGAATGTGCAGGAAACTTCTAGCAGTTTGTGTTCCAATGAAATATCTTAACTAGGAGACTGAATTTTTGCTTGTTAATTTGTTATTCACATACATTCGCTTTTCCTTTCTTTTGTGGGGGCGTTGATTTTTTGAGATTGGGTCTCATTTTTGCAGTTCAGGCTGGCCTTGAACTCAGTGTGTAGGCCACACTGGCCTCAAATTTCCTTCTGTGGCAGCCTCCTGAGTGCTGGGATTACAGCTGTGCATCACATCCGGCTCTACTTTTCAAAAATACGTAGATGTATATCTATACATAAAAATTTAAAAAGTTAGATTTCAACTAGGAATAAAAAGAGGAAATACAATTTCATGTAGAATTCTAGAAAATCTATGACATACACTTTTGGATCCTAGAATAATTATACCATACCATTATAGGTGTCTAAATGTCTCAGTTAAGGAAAATTTGCAGTCTGGTTCAGATCCCCCACCCTGAATTATCTTTGAATAATGAGCCTTGGATCTGCCTTCTAACATTCTGGCATCTGATAGAATTGGTGCTCCACATACGTGGCAATTAGAGTAAGTAGTTATGATTTAGAAATACCTAATGATGCATTTATAATATATTTGTGTTGAAAAAGTTTTAACTCCAAGTGCTAAACAGTGTTGCTGACCCTTAGTCCACAGGTTGTGATCACCACGCACTGTGATGAATCTTGTTTCAGGCTCGAATGCTCATCACAGAGGAGAACCTGATGACCATTATCATCAAGACTTTCATGGATCATTTGCGGCATCGAGATGGCCAGGGCAGGTTTCAGTTTGAACGATACACTGCTTTACAAGCCTTCAAGTTCAGGAGAGTTCAGAGCCTTATTTTAGACCTCAAGTGAGTTTTTACTTCGTTACCAAGCCGGTGCCGCTGGTGAGATGTCGGCGCTTACGTGCTCGTTGCTGCTCTTGTCTCATCCAGGTACGTGTTGATCAGCAGGCCAGCTGTGTGGTCGGATGAGCTGCGGCACAAGTTCCTCGACGGGTTTGATGCCTTTTTGGAATTACTGAAATGCATGCAGGTATGAATGAGGTGACACCTTTGTCTTTTTTCTTTCTCTCTTTTTTTTCTTTTTTTTTCATTTTAATTTTTCTTGTTTTGTCATTGAACAGAACACATTTCTCTTGATGTTTTTGCCCCCATTTTGAGCACAAGTATTCCAAAAGATGGATTTGGATGGCTACGGTTTGGATCAAGAATTTCCTTTCTAATTGTAGACTCTTAGAAAAGTTTAGAGGGAATGAGATTCTTGTAAAAGTTCTGGCATTAACTGTTCACTTGATACTGATTCTTCTGGTTACCATTTACATTTCTTTAGGGGTCGAAACATTCTGTTTATGTCATAGTTATTTGAGAAACTATAGTTAAAATCGTTGTTTTGTGGTGCTAGTGACTGAACCCAGGGGAAATGCATGATAGGCATTTGAGTCAACTTTCTCATTACTGGGGCCAACGGTGAACAAGCACCCACAGCCCAGTGCCCAACACCCACAGCTAGAGGAGAGATTCGCTGTGGCTCAGTTTCACCCCGTGGTCGGCTGGCTCCAAGGTAGAAATGACGTGGAGGAAGGACCTGGGACAAAGGATAGCTGCTTGTTGTATGGCAGCCAGGAAGCAGAGAGAGAAGAGAGGAGTTGGGAACCCTTCCAGGTGACGCTGCTAGTGGCCCGCCTCCAGCCAGGTCCCACCTCCTAACAGCATAGTCAGCTCTGAGCCCAGTGGATGAGTCTGCTGGTGAGCACAGCACCCCCGGGACCCAGTCACCTTCTACACACATGAGGGTTTGGGGGAAATTTGGACCTAACCCGTAACAGTAGGCAGCCTTCTACCGCTGGCTACACCCAGGCCCCTGGATGTTTCATTCCTTTTTTTTTTTTTAATGTTTCCATATTTTTCTCTCCTTGGTGTAATATTTTTATAATACGATGTAAAACTTTTCCTTGTTTAATTCTCTTTTTCAGAAACTTACCTATATACAAAACAGAATCTAGAAGTAGAAAGCAACAGGTATTTTTAACCAGTTTTAAGTTTAAGAATATAAAAGACATCTCTGAAAATTTGAGCAAATTTAATTAGGAGTCTTTCAGTAGCCATCTGGCTTTCTTAAGAAAAGGAATAAACAAAGTAGACCCATCTTTTGTCGGGGGTGAGTAGTCCTGGATCACCGAAACTTGGTGATCCTCCAGCCTCCCACCTCAGCCTCAACCAAGCGCTGGAATTACAGGCATACACCACCATGCCCAGCGACACGCACCCTATTTAAGAAGCTGTGCCTTCTCAAAGTACTTGAAGCTCCCTGTTAAAACTACCTTATATGTTTTATGATCAATATGTATTTTTCCATGTATTTCTAAGGTTTCCATACAAGAAGGAAACTATAATTTTTACTCATAAAATTTTCACTTTCTGACAGCTGCTCATGGTGGTGCACTCCTGTAACCCCAGCACTCGGGAGGCTGAGGCAAGAGGATCACTGTGAATTGGAGGCCAGCCTAAACTATAAAGCAAGACCTTGTCTCAAAAAATAATCATAGGGGCTGGGGATTTAGCTCAGCGGCACAGCGCCTGCCCGGCAAGCGCAAGGTCGTGAGTTCGATCCCTGGTACCAGGAAAAAACAAAAAATGACAATAAAATTTGCACTTTCTTTTAGGGAATGGATCCAATCACACGACAAGTAGGACAACACATTGAAATGGAGCCAGAGTGGGAAGCAGCCTTCACGCTGCAAATGAAACTGACGCACGTCATCTCCATGGTGCAGGACTGGTGTGCTTCAGATGTGAGTTTGTTCTAGGGATAGTGTACAAGGAGAACAGAAGGGGGCGTGTACAGAATCTGACATACAATTTGAAAAAATTTGGAGAAAGTTTTACAGCCTGGTCAGATAACAGCATATTTTCCCCTCCCATCTATACATTTAGTAAAAAAAAAAAACTTAAAATTCTAAAGCCTAACAAAAAGACTTGAAAAACAGAGGAGAAAATAATCTATATTCTTGGTTCCCTATGTCATTATCTTCATTTTTTTCCTAACCCTTTCTATACGCTGAGCATACAAAAATATAAGTTTATCCAAAAATAAAAGTAAAGTGTATCCCTGACTCAGGACAGCAGCATCACAGCTGTAATGAGAGGGGCTGCAGTTTCTGTGGGAACAGTGAGCAGGCTCCGTGTTGGAGCCGAGGCGGGCACCCTCGGCCGCTGTGGAAAGGAACGGGGCTGGTATTCTCGGGGGAGTGGGAAGCCGTTAGGGACAGTGACCCAGCTGGGAAACAACTTGATCATTCTACATGTTTCTTCTAAAAAATCCTCTGTGTAGAGAATGGGTGGATGGGGCAAGAGTAGAGGCAGGGAACTCAATCGCCTGTTGGTGGTGCTTTGGAGTTACAGGAGAGAGCGGGAGCAGCCGCTAGTTTTCAGTAAATTTAAAAAATGAAATTACAGGACGAAATCCTACATCCAGCTTCATTGATGAGAGGTGTCACTCACTGAGACGGGGATGCTCTAAGATGGGCCAAGTTGGGGAAGAAAGATTGAGTGGTTTCACCCATATTTTATGTACTTACTCACTACCAGTTTTGAGGGGCTTATTCAATGTTGTAGAAACCCAATCTTTTGAGTAACTTACAGAAAAACCTTCTTTTTTAGGAAAAAGTGTTGATTGAAGCTTATAAGAAATGCCTTGCTGTATTGACACAATGTCACGGCGGTTTTACTGACGGCGAACAGCCAATTACACTAAGTATTTGTGGACACTCAGTGGAAACTATCAGATACTGTGTCTCCCAAGAAAAAGTTAGCATTCACCTCCCAGTTTCTCGCTTGCTTGCAGGTAAAGCATTTCCCCTAACAGAACCCTGTAAGTGTCTTGAATCATTGTTTGTGGTGGCTAATATGTGTGAATACCTGCCGTCTGCCAGGCATTATTCGTTGAGTTTAGTCCCTGAGCTCCAGAGGCTTTGATCCTAAACTGGAACTTTTGGAGAATTTAATTCTGAGGTCAAAATCAGTGCAGAAGCCAGGTGTGGTGCTGCACGCCTGTAATCCCAGCACTGGAAGGCTGAGGCAGGATTGCCAAGTTCAAGCCCAGTCTGGCACTTGAGTGATTTTAGTGAGATTCTGTCTCAAAATAAAAAAAGAGCCGGGCGTATAGCTCAGTGCAAAACCCCTTGGTTTGGTTCTCAATGCCACAAACAAAAAAAATTCAGGACTATGGATCCAGGGCTAGTTCTCTCTCGGGTCGTCGGAAGAATCCCTCACCATTGTACTCAGATGGGAACAATCTCATGGCCAGTGGAGTGACTTGCTTGGCATACCTCATATCCATTGTGTGATGCTTCATAGCTGTTCATGCTGTTTGTATAGCTAGTGTTGACTTCTGAGTGTCACCAGTGTATGCAGGGGCATGTCATTCAGACCAGTTTGGATTGTACATTTGATACAGAGCTGCCTTAGGACAGCCATTACAAAGCTTTATTTGTGGACACAGTTTATTTTGTATCTTAATTTGCAACCTGATAGGTTCCCAGAGATTTTTTTTAAAGTCACATAATAAAGTTAAGTGAATATTTAGGGTTTTTTCTAAATTGCTTTAACTTATACAAATACCTTTCTGTTTATTTCCTCTTCCATGCAGGTTTGCACGTATTACTAAGCAAAAGTGAAGTGGCATATAAATTTCCAGAGCTCCTACCTCTAGTAAGTGCTTCTGACATTTAAAAGTGAATATCTGTTATGTTCCTTGTATTGGAAATCAAAGTGACACAACTTTACTACTCTGAAGAAATGGACTTAGTAAGGGATGTGTGCGTGTGTGTGTGTGTGTGTGTGTGTGTGTGTGTGTGTGTGTGCGCGCACATATATGTGCACATGTGTATGTTCAGAGAAAGATTTACTTTAAGGAATTGTCTTGTGTACTTATGGAAGCGGGGCATGGCGGGGGGGGGGGTGCCAGCCAGTCTGCAGTCTGCAGTGTGCAGGGCAGCGCCATCTAGCAGGCTGGAGGGACCCAGGGAGAGCTGGCCTCAAAGCCTCAAGTACAAAGGCAGTCATGGGGGCAGAATTCCCTCATCATTTGCCAGTTCATGAGAACCATCCCCTTTATGGAGGGTACTTTGCCTTATTCAAAGCTTACTAAAATGTTATTATGAAGCCATGCATAGTGGCACACACTTGTAATCTCAGCACCCAGGAGCATGAGGCAGGAGGATTGCTGTAGGTTCGAAGGGAAAAAATGTTGCTCACACAGTGGTAGCTTGATTCACAGACTTAATTCCTTTCATGGTTCTGGTCGCAAACTGAATTGCTCGTGAACTGAATCAAATTCAGTGGTTAGGTTCAGTGTTGACCTTATAGGGAAATTTTATTCAGTACCCAAGTAATTTGCTTTGCAACCAGAACGGTAGAAAGAATTGTTTGGGAACGAGGGTACCACTGTATTAAAAATTACCTTAATGACAACATCTAGACATCAAGACTGGTATTGACCGTAGCTGGGTACCATAGCCTAGGTAAGTTGACACAGAATTAACGATCAACCAAAAGTATCTTAAAATAATTTTATCCTGTGTTTTATTAAAGCTTTCATTCCTGTCAACCATCTTACTTTATAGAGCTGTGTTTTTTATGCTATTTTATTTTCTGTTACTATACAGAGTGAACTTAGCCCACCCATGTTGATAGAACACCCTCTTAGATGTCTTGTTTTATGTGCCCAAGTACACGCTGGAATGTGGAAGAGAAACGGGTTCTCATTAGTAAACCAGGTAAGTACTTCTTTAATTCTGTGAAGAGTTTCCATTCCATTTCATTGACTTCAATGAAAGTTTTCGGTGGACTCAGTCATTGAAAGTTCAGTGTCCACGTTAAAATTGTTTGAATAGATGGTAAACCAAAAAAGTTTCTTAGAACTTTTATTTATAGCTGTCAAGAAATACTATTAAAAGTATAAATGAATGAGTCTTAACTTTCATTTGAAATGATATTTTAGAATAAATTTGGATAGTAAAAAAAATCCCAGTTTTGCATCTATTTAAATTGGGCTAAAAGACAAAGCTCTGAAGTTGAGGTTTTGCATTTTAAAGGCTAGTTTATGGATTTTTTTCTCCCTACTTTTAGCGGCTCTAAGTCTTCCTGAACTGTCCACATTTTATTTTGTGAGAAACCCAGTTGAGTCCAAAGTGTGAATCAAGCGCACAGGGACTCCTAGTGGAAATCTGTGTGCAGATAGTGTTAGCTTTGGGGAATCTGCATCTCCTTCACATACACACTTGTGCTTATGCAAACCCACGTGGTTTTAGGGCGATGAGGGGAGAGGAGGAGGGAGCTGCACCATAAAAATATGTTTACCCAGCATATTTAATTATTGTTTTAGATTTATTACTACCATAATGTGAAATGCAGGCGTGAGATGTTCGACAAGGATATCATGATGCTTCAGGTAATGCATTAAAAGCCTTGGCTTTAAAAGTTGTGGTGAGTCCTTGTTACCGCCGCTGAGCCCAGTTGCTGTGCTGGCCCCGAATGTAGAGCTCCAGCCTAGCCCTGCGTGCTAAAGCTCTGCACAGGCCAACAACCCAGGACACATGTCTGCCTAGGTCTTCCAGACACATTTCATACACATCATGTTCAAAATAACTCCTTTTACTCCTCCATACTACATTGAGGTTCCCTGAGTTTGGTATGGTCTCTCTTAAACTCTGCACATTGCTTTGTCGTCTTGTCCTCCCTGGCCCTTCCTCCCTACGTTTCCATTCACCTAGCTAATTTCCAGCGTGTCTTGGAGTTTGCGCTCATACCACTTTCTCCAGCGGTTCTTCCCTGACCACTAGAACTTGGCTAGGCGTCCCTTTGTGAGGACCCATGACACAGCCCTGCACCCTCCCTGCCACAGGCCCCGCTCCGGACTATGAGTGACTGTTTTCCTCTTACTCCCCCAAGCTGTGACAGCTGCATCACATCTTTTCTTTAATTTCTCCTCCCCCTTTTCTCTAGCGTAGTGCTTGGGACACAGTAGTTATTCCATATTACTGCTGAATGGATTTAGTAATTATTCAAAAAGTTAAGAAACCTAAATTTCAGAAAAAATACTGATTCAAAATAGATTAAAATCCAGGTTGATGTAGAGTTTTCACAAGTAGAATTAAAGGAGAATTGAAACTAATTTTTAAGAGCTATGACTTTAGTGAGTATAGTATTTATCTCAAAAAAAGAGATCTCAGTAGTAACTTAATATGATGTATGCTTTAAAAATATTACATAGCATTCCTTTCAGAGTTCATACAGTGATCACTAGGGAGTGAGCCTCATACATGACTTTGGAGCCAAACTGACACGAATACAATTATTTCTTTTCTTTTCTTTTTTTTTCCCTCCCTTCAACCCTTCCTCATTTCCCCGTTTACAAAAGCTTTGTTTCCAGGGCTGGGGATTTAGCTCAGCGGCACAGCGCCTGCCTGGCAAGTGCAAGGTCGTGAGTTTGATTCCCAGTACAGGAAGAAAGAAAAAAAAGTTTTGTTTCCATTATTAGGTATACAGTTATTTCAAAGCATTAAAAGGAAAAGAGAATGAAGAGCATAGAATGGAAAATCCATGTTACTCTTGTATGGGTTTAAGCTTCAGAGGGCTTGTTTGTTCGTTTGCGTGTATCTCACCAGCTTGTGTCCCTGTCCTCACTTGTCAGCTACCACAGTAGGGATTGAGGCAAATAAGTTTCCATCTTGTATTTCCATTGGTAAAAAAGTAAGCTGTTTTCTCTTTGCAAACCAAAATATCTCTCACTAATTATTTAATGTTCTTTTTGACCTTTCTCTTTTCCTTTATCCCCCAAAAAACAAAAAAAGACAGGTGTCTCCATGATGGATCCAAATCATTTCCTGATGATAATGCTCAGCCGCTTTGAACTTTATCAGATCTTCAGTACACCAGATTATGGGACAAGATTCAGTTCCGAGATCACCCAGAAGGTAAGAGCGTGTTTTACCAGACCACAGCACATCACTAAAGGAGCATCTTTCATTCTTTCGGGGTATGTTACTCACCTAAGAGAATACGGTATACATACTCTTCTCTCTGATCTCTTGTAGGATGTTGTTCTGCAGAACAATACTCTAATAGAAGAAATGCTATACCTCATCATAATGCTTGTTGGTAAGTTTCGGTCATTTCACATACCTATAACTTACGTTGGATTTTGTGATAGCGAATATGTTTCTTTTGTTGGGAGATGATTATCAGGTTTAGGGGAAGGGAATTGGAACTTTCTCTTTTTCCGCCGTCTAGACACTGTAATGTTGGGAGCCCCTTGTCTGTACCTCTTGCTTCCTGGCCTTTGGTCCTTCCTCTGAAGCAGCAACCACAGTGCTCCCTGCCAAAAGCCAAGCACTTGCCTCTTCGTCTGGATGCAGAATGTGGTCAGGAGCTGCTCTCTGCTGGCTTGTTCCCTGCCAGGCATTGCTTTCCCACTTCAGAGATGAAAACAGAGGAGTGTGTCATCATACTGCATGAGTTACCAATGTATATCGTCTGAGGCTTGTAACTGTGCTAATGTGGATGTACACTTTCCCATTTTCACAGGTGAGAGATTTAGTCCTGGGGTTGGACAGGTGAATGCTACAGATGAAATTAAGCGGGAGATTATCCATCAGTTGAGCATCAAACCTATGGCTCATAGTGAATTGGTAAAGTCTCTACCTGAAGATGTAAGTACCTACATTGTGTTGATTGTGACAGGGTCTCACTGTGTAGTTCTTGCTGGCCTTGAACTCACTGTATAGCCCAGGCTGACCTCAGACCCATGGTGATCTTCCTCCGTTAGCCTCCCGAGTGCTGGGATTAGGCTTATGCGATTGTACCTGCATTTCTTTTTTTTTTTTTTTTTTGTACCAGGAATGGAACTCAGGACCTTGCACTTGCCGAGCAGGCATGTACCTACATTTTAAAAAGAAAATTGTAGTGAGCTTTCTCCATACATCAGTCTAGCACTGTAGATTTACTTCTGTATACATTTCCCACAGTTGTAAAATCTGCAATTCTAAGTTGTATGTAACTTTGGTTATCTAATACAAGTAATTAGAAAAGCTAGGACAAGTAATGGAAAGGAGAATAGGGCTGTAATCTTTGACAGTAAACCTTGGGAGATATCAGGACTGAGGAGGGGTCTGGCCTTACAATCGAATTTTTGTACTATTAGAGTCATTATAGAGTCTGTAGTGCAGTTAGTGTGGGAATACACAGCCTCATACATTTAAGGAGTGAGAAATACTGACGCACTTGTGTGAGTGGACTAGATCAAGTTTTCCAGAGCTTTTTTCTTCTCAGGCATCCAAAGATTGTCCTTAACAGTGAGCCATTATTTCATATTCATGAATGTAAAGTACAGTCACAAGGACGATTTATGTTGAATTATAGCTAGCTTTCCTCCCGGCATCATCATTTCCTCAGCCATCTTGTTTTAAGGCGTAGTGCTTTTGAGATTCTCAACTCCCAGAACTGAGAAAGGACTCTATTTTCTAGACGGTTTCCCACATTTGAAGCATAGGTCAAAATCTTTTAACCTTAATGTTCGTTCTTCTTAGATTTCAACCTGTCATGTTTTTGTTGTGTAGTTAATGTTTTTTAAAGTTTGTTATGAGAAAGTTCAAGCATGTACAGAAGCAGAACACTCAGTGCGGCAAGCCGCTCATTGGCTTGACAGTTGGCCAGGCTTGTCTTCTCCGTGCCCCAGGCACTATTCCTGTGGCCCCCTGGATTGTTCTGTATAGAATACCCCACTTACTGGGTCATCAGTAAATAGGCTCTTCGCCCTGGGACAGCGCTCTCTGGGAGGGACAGTTGGGCAGTGTCACTGCTCGTATAGAGTACACGGTGCTCCTGGTGTCCGGTGGTGAGGGCTGCACTGCATAGGACAGCCCTGCAGCGCAGACTCGGGGTACAGGCTGTTCTGCAGTGGCCCAGCTGGAGAGCGTAGTGCTCTGGAGCAGCCTGCCTGTGTGCCCTTACCCACCTTAAAACCAGTAGTGACTGATAAGTTCTTAATCACAGATCGAGTCAGGACAAAAATTATTCGTACTTTTGAATGCAGAAAATGAATCCTGAATTGTGATATGAGGGCATACAGTGTAATGTGAACTTTAAGAAAGAACATACCTTAAACAGTGTGCTTTGAAGGGTTATATACCTTGTACAAAATGATGCCAACTGTATCTCCCTAAACATTTTGACCAGAGAACCCTTTATTTGTAGAATTTCTATTAACCTCTTGGAAGTACTGTTTTATGGGAAATAGATAAGTGATTAATATAGCTATTTTACAAAATCGTGTAAATATTTTATATAAATTCTATTGAAATGTCTTATATACTTTGTGTGATCATTTAATTCCTTCAAAAGCCCTTATCTTGATTGCATTTGGTAGTGACTTTTTGTGGTACTAGGGATTCTACCTTTTTTTTTTTCTTTTCTTGAGACAGGGTCTCACTTTGTAGTTCAGGATGGCCTATAACTCACTGTGTAGCCTAGGCTGGCCTGAAACTCATGGAGATCCCCCTGCCTCAGCCTCCTGAGTGCTAGGATTACAGATGTGCACCTGGCAGTGACTTTCTTAAAAATTTAGTTTGAATGAGTGAATGTCGGCTTACCAAATAAGTGTGCCTCGTTGGATAATCTCACTGTTTGCTGTGGAGCCTTCACTTCATACAGTGGGATAATAATGTTGCTGTGAGAGTTCTTGAGGTGAAGGAGAGTGTTGGGAGTGTAGCAGCTGTCATTCTTAACACGGCACACACTTGTTTCCTGTCCCTGTAGGAGAACAAGGAGACTGGCATGGAGAATGTCATTGAAACAGTTGCCCATTTCAGGTATGTTTACTTCTTGTTACTTTACATTTTGTGGGGTTTGATCTTGCGGGGGGAGCTTTTGTTTGTGGTTTTGTGTGTGTGCATGCTTACTTGTTTTGTTAGTGACATTGGGGATTGAACCTAGGCAGCGCTGAGCTCCATCTCATGCCCTTTTTAATTTTGAGACAAGGTCTTACCAAGTTGCCCAGACTGAGCTCAAACATGCAACTTTCTCGTGTCACTGAGATTACAAGCATGCGCCACTACACCCAGCCCAGGCATTTTCTTAATCATGCTTTTTCCTTGCTTCCCACCCTAACTGCAGTGTTTTGTTTGGTTGGTTTGTTTTATTGATTATAAAAACAGTAAATGCTTTTACAGAAAAGAAGAAGAAAGTATCACTATAATCTAACCACTTAAGTGTCTTCTACTGCATTTTAGATATACAGTATTTGTTCAGAATTTTTTCCTATACTTGGAACATTTATATCTGTATATGTAAGTGGCTAGGAAAATACACTGGGTCCATTCTGTATTATTGTTTATTAAACTTTAATGGGGTGTTTCTATATGTTTGTGTCTTTTTTGGTTTTTGTTTTGTTTTACTTAGTATGCCCTGTTGATACATGTGAGCGTGTTTCATTTTTTATACTTCTTAGGGGTCATGTACTGTAACGTATTTAACCTCTTCCTGTGCACTCTTCACTTTTCTCCCACCACCACCACCATCACCAGGTTCTGGAGGTTGAACCCAGGGCCTTAACATGTATCACAGCCACTTGGCTGAACCTTCAGCCTTGTGTAATATTTAAACATCATTTGGTTAGAAAATGTTACCTTGCCGGACGTGGTGGCACACACCTGTAATCCCAGCACTCGGGAGGCCGAGGCAGGAGGATCGTTGTGAGTTCAAGACCAGCCTGGGCTACAAAGTGAGCTCAAGGCCAGCTTGAACTGCATAGCGAGACCCTGTCTCAAAAAGACAAAAAAAAAGAAAAGAAAGAAAATGTTACCTTAATTTGTATTACTTCATCAGAGAGGTTGAATGCGTTTTCACGTGTGTATTGACCATTTGTAATCAGTCACACTTTTGTGTATGCGTCTTTGCAGTTGTCACCATCTTCATGTTCCATAATCACTTTTTACATATTAGAGATATTCACTGTTACTATATTAAATGCATTACAAGTACTTTCTATCACGTAGTTTTTATCTTTGTAATGTTACCTCTCACAAATGTTTTAAAATCATTTTTCTGCCTTGCTTGACTTCTAAATTTTATAACTTACTTAAGAAGGTTTCACCGGACGTGGTAGTACACCACTTGTAGTCGAGCACTTGGAAGGCTGAGGCAGGAGGACAGCTGTCAGTTCAAGGCCAGCCTGAGCTGCATGGTGAGACCCTGTCTCAAAAAACAACAAAAAGAAAGTTTCTTAAATCCCGACATCGTTTCTGCTCCTTTCCACTCAGTAGAACTTATCACAGCTGTCTTGGCATCTCAGAGAACACATTAACCACTTACCAGTCCAATTATCTAAATATATAATGACAAAATTAGCATAATTTTTGTTAATTTTTATAACAGGAAACAAAAAATGACTTTTTTTTTTTTCTTTTTGAGACAGGGTCTTGCTATGCAGTTCAGGCTGGGCTTGAGCTCACTTTGTAGCCCAGGCTGGTCTCAAACTCACAGCGATCCTCCTGCCTCAGCCTCCCAAGTGCTGGGATGACAGTCGTGCGCCACTACATCTGGCTAGAAAAAAAATGACAGTTTCATCAAATTTATTCAATAGAAGAATCGAGTGGTTGAAATGACAACTGTGGGCGCAGTGCTTAGGATAGTCCGCATGCAAACAAATGCGCTGCCTGAGGGACACTCAGGGTACACTGTTCAGTAGTTAGGGTCACTTTTCCTGCTGTTCAGTTGCTCGGAGCCTATTAGACTGAAATTGCTGCAGCTGCATGTCCATCGCATTCTCGTCTGGTTGGGATAGAGTCGAAGTGAGCGTGCCAGATTAAAAGGCATGCGCATGCGGACCTGGGCTTAGAGTGCCGGGTCAGCCCACAGAAAACTGCTTCAGCTCAACACCACCAGCAGCATGTGAGAACTCTGTTTCTGGTCCTAACATCTGAGACTGTCATGGATTTATTTTTTGTTACTTTTTTTCTTTTGCTATTGTTTAGTTAGTATATAACTTTAGCAGTAATGTACTAAGGGCCTTTTTTTTTTTTTAATAGGAAGCCTGGATTAACAGGACGAGGCATGTATGAGCTGAAGCCAGAATGTGCCAAAGAGTTCAATTTGTATTTTTATCACTTCTCAAGGGCAGAGCAGTCCAAGGTAATTGGGAAAATTAAAGGTACAATGGGAAAGGGCTGGGGGTTTTTCCCCCTGGAAAACTTTCACTGCTTTTCAGACTTTTCTACATTCTTGTAGAAAACTTGGAAAAAATAAAAATGATATAAGTACAGAAGAAAGTATAAGTTACTGCCTGACGTGGGGGGGCTTCCCCACCTACTGCTTTGTGCATAGCTGTGTAAGATCTGTATAACTGTATATGCCTGTAGGTGCATATTTTGTTTTCAACCTGTATTCTCAGGTTGAAAGGGTTTTCAACCTGTATTCTCAGGAGCTAATCAGGCTCTCGATCTTAAGGGCAAGCATATGGAAAAGGCTTAAATAAAGACCAGTGCAGTTCTGGTGTGTGAGGTCCAGGAAGGTCAAAACTCTCTGTAGGAGCTAAGACAGAGACTTTCTGGATCACCCACAGTAGTTTGGGGGTGGTGCAGGAAGAGAGGCAGAAGCTGTGAAAATGGGCAGGGTCTTGAGAAGTAGAACAAAGGCAGGCAATTTTGCTAATTAAGAGAGCTGTTTGATCTCTAAGGTTAGCAGCTTTATTGCTGTGGAACAGGAAGCCTCAGCACCTGGGTCCGTGTCCTCCTGTCCTTGCTGCCTCAGCTGTGGTGGTATCTTGTCTTCAGAGCATTGTGATAGGAGCTTTTCCAACCCAGCCAAAGGTCCCTTCGTGGGCCGCAGTTTAACTCTATGTAGTCCAGTCCCCAACACTGTACTAATACTTAACCCATTTTATTTATTTTTGGGTTTGGCTTGTACATGTTTCCCTTGCATTTTAAAGCCGCAGAGAACTCATTTGGGCTGTCTTCTAGTGGGAGTAGAACTTAACCTTGATGTGTATTGAGGGTGGAGGGGACTGCCACCACACTGAAGATAAAAGTCTCCAAAACCCTGAAGGTAGTACAGCAAAGGTTGACTTACATCACTATTTGGGGATGTGAAATTGTTTTGTAGTACAGTTCCTGTCCAGACTTTCTTTTTTTATTAGGCAGAAGAAGCTCAACGAAACTTGAGAAGACAAAATAAAGAAGATACAGGTATTTTAATATTCTTTCCAAAAATCTCCTCTCTGTCTCTTTTACTTGCTCAACTTTGTTTGGTATTAACTGTAATGTTAAGTTGGAGATGTAGCTTGGTGGTAGAGCAATTGCCTAGCACACCTGAGGCCCTGGGTTCACTGCTAAAAAGGAAAAAAGAATGCAGAACCCTTCACTGTGGTGTTTTCTATTAACTTGGTAAGATAAAAGATGTAAATCTTAAAAAAAGATTTAAATCTAAGCGTTCTGGGGGAGCATTCTCCTAGTCAAAGGAATGATACGTTAATAAAAGACTGTCTGTACTGAGTCACCTTGTAGTTAATGGTTTTATTCCAGAGCTTGAGATTTTTCTGGGAAAGAGAAAGGCTTACCTTTGTTCTCCTCCTGTTTGTAGAGCAGTTTTTGTAGATTTAACTGGCGTTGAGAAGGTAGCGTATAGCTCTGAGATGTACATTAATGAATATTCTTTGAATGAAGACCATGAGAAGTATATAACAAAGGAACAGTTTTTAAACATGTCCTGCACATGAAACCATAATGACTCTGCTTTCAGCGCTTCCACCTCCAGTTTTGCCGCCTTTCTGCCCCCTGTTTGCAAGTCTAGTTAACATTCTGCAGTCGGACGTCATGCTGTGCATCATGGGGACGATACTGCAGTGGGCCGTGGAGCGTAACGGATCTGCCTGGTCAGAGTCCATGCTGCAAAGGGTAGGTTTGACCACATTCTTATCTATATTTTCAAAAAACCAAAATACTCTTAATGATAGTCATGCACCACAAAATTACCTAATCTGTAATAAAATACTATTTTCGTACCTTTGCTTTCTAACAATGAAAGTGTGTGCCCTGCAGATGTTTGGAGACGCCATGGTTGTGTTCACCACAGCCCGTTGGCTAGTCTGTCTCCACCACTGCCTCGGGCCTGTGTATGTGCACTGCTGTGCTATTGGGTTAGTTTTGATATGTGTCGCATTTAATGCTCTCGAAAAACTTGAGTATCCATATTTTTTCCTCCTTTTTTTGTGGTGCTGGGGATCGAACCCAAGGCCTTCTGCATGCAAGGCAAGAGCTCTACCACGGAGCCACATCCCCAGCCCACAGTATCCATATTCTGCAGTGGAAGAAATGGAAAGTTGGAGATTTATTTTCCTGTATAACTAAAAAGTGGCAGGTCTAAAATTTTGTTTGAGTCTTACAGTTTTAACGTAAGTCATTCTTACATTATCTTGTTGAATTCACACATACTCCATGAGAACTTTATTTCACCATGTAGATGAGAAGGGCAGGTTTCAGTAAGGTTGTGCTCGTCCCATGTTACTCAGTTAGTGAGTGACAGCAGAACCCAGTTAGAAAGCCTGCTCCGTGCCTTCCTCCCTGCTGGACACTTCACACACAGTATTTATCACCCTCCAACTGTAGAGGGAAGTTGTTTCTAGGTTAAAGATTCTGATAAGCCAAGCATGGTGGCACACACTTGTGAAGCCAACACAGAAGGAAGCTGAGAAAGGAGGATCATAAGTTAGAATCCAGCCTGGGCAGTTATACAACTTAGCAAAATTTCTCAAAATTTAAAAAATGAGGCTGGGCATGGTGGCACATGTCTGTAATCCCAGCACTTGGGAGGCTGAGGCAGGAAGATCATTGCAAGTTTGAGGCAAGCCTGGGCTACAAAGTGAGCCCAAGGCCAGCCTGAACTGCATGGTGAGACCCTGTCTCAAAAAGACAAAAACAGGGCTGGGGATTTAGCTCAGCAGCACAACACCTGCCCGGCAAGCGCAAGGTCTTGAGTTCGATTCCCGGTACTGGGGGAAAAAAAAAAAATAACAAAAGCAAAAAAAGGCTGGAGATACAGCTCCATACAGTGGCCCGGGGTTTAATCCCCAGTGCTACAAAAAAAAGGCATCTCAGAAAGGGTCCCTGTGAACATACAGCTTGGCGCAGCAAAGCCAAGGACACCGCCGCTCTTGCCTTCCTCTCAGTGGTCTGAGGCACGTGTGTGCTCCCACACCCTCCTGTTCATAAACAGGTATTTGAAATCTAAAAGCAGCGAGCTATGAGTTGCAGAGACCTCTGTGAGGATTGCGTGAGCAAAGAACGTGTGGGACGCAATGAAGCAGGGAGGTGTGTGCAGTGCTTAGCTCATGCGCACACCTGTGCCAGGCAGGCTCGCCTGGCTCTTCCAAGTCACTCAGCACCCGTCACCCTGTGTGCAGGGCTGGAGCAGAGACACCACACACCCATCTCCTTCGAAACCTGGGAGCAGAGTACGAGCAGTAAAAATACAAATAGGTGCAGTGTAGTTGGGTGTTTTCTTACAAATCTGGTAAGGAACTTTATTCTGAGATATGCTAAGAACTATAAACATTTTCATGAACTGGCATTAGAGAAAAAGTATGTCTCTTTTTCTGATTATTAAGATTTAGTCCTTAAGGGGCTGGGGATTTAGCTCAGCGGCAAAAGCGCCTGCCTGGCAAGCGCAAGGTCGTGAGTTCGGTTCCCGGTACCGGAGAAAAACCAAAAAAAAAAAAAAAAAAAAAAAAAAAAAAGATTTAGTCCTTAAAAAGTGAAATTGAACTAGGTAGTGTCAGCAGGCTGAATAATCGTATGATAGGCGCCTTAAGCTATGTATTTATTTGGCCAGTGATTGTTAGATTTTCTCAAGACCTTAGTAGAGGTATGAAAGTGAGATATTGTGGGAAATGCTCTGTCCTGGGCGTGGTGACACGCGCCTGTAATCCCAGCACTCGGGAGGCTGAGGCAGGAGGATCAGGAGGATCCTTGCGAGGTTTCAGCCTGGGCTACAAAGTGAGCTCAAGGCCAACCTGAACTGCATAGCAAGACCTAGCTCAAAAAGACCAAAAAAAAAAAAAGGAATTGCTTGGTCACACCTGCAGGTAACTGTAGCTTAAATTAAGAATTTGACTTGAAGTTTGTTCCTCACAAAAATGGAAAATTTTGTTTTCTTTGCCAAGAATTTTTATTAGAAAATGATCTTTGATCTTTGAATTTAGTAAGAATTAATGTTAAATGTTTTAGTACATTTAATCTTTAATAGGTTAATTTATTTTTGAGTACTAATTCTTTTTATTACTTCTTATAAAAATACATACCTGAATTTTTTTTTTTTACTAAAAGTTACAAAACATATTTTATTTGAGGTGTTACATTTAATTGGAATGGCACTACAAGAAGAAAAACAACATTTAGAGAATGCCATGGAAGAGCATGTAGTAACATTTACCTTCTCTCAGAAGATTTCAAGTATGTATATACTTTTTTCTAAACTAACTCAAAATATGTAATTTTAAATAATCACTTATAACCTCTTTTGTTTGGTCATATAGGCTCTAAATTGGGTAATACTGAATCCATATATTTGAGGCTACATGTATTCATCTGTATAATGAAAGTTCTATATTAGATCTTGTTATAAAAAAATACATAGGACCAGATAGATACGGTGCTGCACACCTACGCCTGTAATCCCAGCACTCTGGGAGGCAGAGGCAGGCAAATCGGAAGTTCGAGCCCAATCTGCAACTTAGCAAGTTAGCAAGACCCTGTCTCAAAATAAAAAACAAAGAGGTGGAAACGCAGCTCATTGTGAAGGCCCCGGGTTTACTCCCCAGACACACGCACAGCAGGACCTATGCATACTTCAGTTACTAAGTTTTATTTCATAAGCAGCAAAAAGCTGAGTTCTTATTTTGAAATTGGTGCAGCACATTTGTCTCTAGGATAAACTTTTAAAAACACAAAGTGTGCTGTCAGAATAAGAGGTTACAGTATTGAAAATAAGAAAAGTAACTATTAGAAGATTGGATTCTCATTTTATATAAAATAAGGTGGCTTTATTTTTTTTTTAAGAAGGCCAGGGAGATGTTTTTCCTAGCTTTTTATTTTTAAAAATTGTAAACATATTAGACCAGTTGAAAGAGAGATGTACAGTAAAGCATCCATATACTTAGCACTAAGTTCAATAGTGTTGTGGTATTTTAGCTTTTATATTCGCACACTTTTTGAACCATGTATTACAGACATCACAGTGTTCGCTGGTAGAGCCCTTTCCTACCATGTGCAAGGTCCTGGGTTCATCCCCAGTACCATGGAAAGAAAGAAAAATGTTGTCTTTATTTTACCCTAAGCAGTTGGGTCAGTAATCACCTTCGGTGGTGGTACCGTGAAGCTTTCCTGTTGGTGCAGACTTGGTACGACAGCACTACTTCTGCATTCTTTACTGGCTGTTGAAGAGTTGGTGATGGTGATTATTCCTCTGACACTCGGACGGGAGTGCATCCGGCCAATGCGGAGCCACGCTGTCCGCTTCCGGGCTGCTCTCGCCCGGCCCCATGCGTGTTCGGGCCCCACCGTGCCTTCTGGTGCAGGAGGAGCCCAGGCTCGGTCACCCTTGCCCTGCTCAGACCTGCAGCCAGCCACCTGCTAGGGTGCTTCTAGGTGATCTGTGGTGCAGCGATAAGGGTTACGAGTTTCTGGAAAAGGGTTATTCCTGTCACTGTCCTCAGTGCCATTTCCTCCTGCATGACAAGGACCATGAGAATGTCGTGTTGTCCTGAACAACAGGGAGGAGGTTGTCCTGTTTGCCGCTGAATCCCAAGTTTTCTCTTCTGCCTTTCCAAGTAAAGGCGTGCAGCGGGGCACTGGCTGCCCCCACCAAAGGCTGTCTCAGCGGGTGCAGCTTTCCCTGCGCTCTGCACCGTCGCCGGCCACGCATGGACGCTGTGCCTTCGCCACCCCTGTCAGTGCTGTCCCTGGGATAACTGTACCCACTCCCGACCCGCCCCTGCCACGAGGAGAGGCCGGCTTCTCTCTCCTGTCCGTCTGTCTTAAGCAGGCATCATTTTCTCTGGCCATTACTCTTCCTTCTTTTGAAACATTATCTAAATGAGATAATATATGTGTTTGTTTGCAGAGAAACCGCTCCCTTATCTAGAGACAGATCCCTAATGCATAACCATAGAACTTTCAGTCAGGGAGAATATTAAAAATGACAGAGTTCGAAAGAAGCACATTTGCCGGAATAGCAGCACATAACTCAAGAAAATCAGCAGCTGGACATTTCTGGCCACAAACTGAATTAGCTAGTATTGGAGTAAATATACTTTGGAGAATATGGACTTGACTTTTATATTTTTTCTTCAAATAAAGAAGCAGTGGATTCATAAAGGGAAGAAATTTACCTTACTTTGAATGTAGCTTTTATTGAAGAAAAGTTCCAAGGAAACTGATATATTTATGCATATTTGTATCTCCATAATTTTAGTTGGTTTTCTTAGACATAAACTCTTGGGTAGGGCAGTTTTGGGGGGTTTTTAAGCTGAATTTTTATTTAATATTGCTAGAGGCTATGTTAAAATAATTAGGTGTAAGAATTCAGTTCTTAATGCTAAAGAATTCTAGGGTTAAACATGTTTGTAAAGTATGAGTGCATCGTGTTCTCAGGTGTTGAGACTGTCTAACAAGCAGTGCTGCGAAGGGTGCTTCACAGGTGTTACGAGAACGTGGTGCCTGGGACTAAGCACTGTGCAGGCGCGCTCACTTTGTTACTGTGCCTTTCTCGCTCTCCACCTTAGAGCCTGGAGAAGCACCGAACAACTCTCCCAGCATCCTGGCCATGTTGGAGACACTACAGAACGCTCCCTCCCTGGAGGTCCACAAAGACATGATTCGGTGGATATTAAAGGTAGCAGTTGGTGCATTGCTCTGCTGTTTGTAAGGAGTATTGGATATTTGTTACCTGTACGTTGCAGTGCTTCATAATATGAGGCTGACTGATACTTTCTTTTTTTCTGGTAGACTTTTAATGCAATCAAGAAGATAAGAAAGAGTTCCTCTAGCAGTCCCGTGGCAGAGGCAGAAGGAGCCATAATGGAGGAGGTACAAGAAGTGTGCACTGAGCAATCCCAGCACTGCAGAGGCTGAGGCAGAAGGATCTCAAGTTCAAGCCCAACCCAGGCAGTTTAGCAACTTAGTGAGACCCCATCTCAAAATAAAATAAAAAGTAAAGGCTGAGGATGTAGCTCGGTGCAAAGGTCCTGGTTCAGAGTACCACAAAAAAAGAAGAGTAAGGTGTGTGGGGCTGCACTTGTAGTTCATCAGTAGAGAACTTGCCTGACATGCTCAAGGTTCTGAATTCAACCTCAAGCTGTGCAAAAATAAGGAAAAAAGTATAAAGTATGCTAATACTGAAAACTATAGTAAGTTGATACTATTTGCAAACATTTAAATTCCAAGAAAAGTCCCATTATTTATTTGTGTGGCAATTTTTTACTTTACGTTTTGGTTTGGTTTGCTCTTTTTTATAAAGTATGTTAGGTTAATAATCTTTTCTTCTGTTTGCTGGGCATGGTGGTGCATGCCAAAATCCCAGCACTCTAGGGGGCTGAGGCAGGAGGATCACTGAGTTCAAGGCCAGCCTGGGCTACATAGCAAGACCTTATCTCCAAAAAAAAAAAAAAGAAAAAATCTTCTGTTCAAGAAAGATTATAGAACAGTTTTAATTGGTACTTACAATGAAGATACTTCTGCTTTCAGGAAAAATGTGCATTTAACATCTAATGGTATAATTGAATAAATCATAATTTCAGAATTCAAGAGACAAAGACAAAGCTGAGAGGAAAAGAAAAGCTGAAATTGCCAGACTTCGAAGAGAAAAGATCATGGCCCAGATGTCTGAGATGCAGCGGCACTTTATCGATGAGAACAAAGAGCTCTTTCAGCAAACGCTAGAACTAGATGGCTCTTCCTCCACCATTCTTAACAACAGGTGAAGAAAGTACCCTGGGGTTTTTAATCTCCTGGTCAGTGGTTCGCACCTAAGTGATACTACTTTTATTCCTTATAAGTACATTTTTAATCCTAAAGTAATTTATTAGAATTGATAGGTAAATTTTGTGGCCTCCAGTTAAAGAAGCTACCTTTAGAAAGTTCTGACTGTAGGTAAGCTAGTTAATTCATGTGTACACTTAAAATGGTATTTTTGACACCAGATTTGACAGTCACAAAGGAATAAAGGCACAGCATCTAATGCCTGAGGTGCATAGTGGATTGCTGGGAAGTTAATACATGGGAAAGACTTTCATGATTCAAGCCACCAGAACCATGTTTTAAATGTGTACATTCTGAAAGCCGGGCATGGTGGCACACACCTGTAATCCCAGCACTCAGGAAGCTGAGGCAGGGTGATCATTGCGAGTTCAAGACCAGCCTGGGCTACAAAGTGAGCTCAAGGCCAGCCTGAACCGCATAGCGAGACCCTGTCTCAAAAAGGCCAAAAAAATAATCCTGGAGTCTAGTGTTTGATACTTACATAGAAACTTCCTAGGCCCATTCATTCACTCCTGACATTTTTTGTCGCAGCCCGGTTGTTTCAGGTATGACCCTTACAGCCTTGGGCCCAGCACAAACACAGGTCCCTGAACACAAACAATTTGTCACCTGTATATTATGTCAAGAGGAGCAAGAAGTTAACGTGGAAAGTAAAGCCATGGTCTTGGCAGCATTTGTCCAAAGATCAACTGTACTATCAAAAAACAGAAGTAAATTTGTTCAGGATCCAGGTAAGTCATAACTGGGTCTTCATCCTCCTCTTCATGACTGCCAGCCAGTGTGATTGGTGTTAATGAGGAGCCTTCGTTAACCTAATAACAACTCCATAGGCTCATCCATGGGATCACCCACATGATGACTACTCCAGAAGGTTAAGGGTCACCCCCGACTCACACAGCTGTTAAATACATAGTAAGGGTTCAAAGAAAAACTTTGCTTTGTGATGTAACATTCACACACTTGGGTACCTAACAGGCTTTCCTATCTTCCAGCACACTTGGGAAGTCCTCAGCACTTGCTGACATTGAATAAGAGCAATTGTGTCATCTTGTGGGTAGAGCCACGCTGCTCAGGAGCAGTGCTGCAGAGATGTATGTGAAAAGCGAGTCTGGAGCCAGGTTCCAATATAGGATAGTGACACTGTCACAGATAGGGTCCCCAGAAAGCAGCCTTGATACAGATTGCTGTGCTGGACATTCACAGGGGGAGGTGGAGGTCAGCATCCAGGGAAAGGAAGTAGGTTTGAGTTGTAGTACATTTCCCAAAGGCCTCCTGGAGCCCAGGGGAAGCTCACACTGTGTGCCCCGACACTGAGAAGTAACTGGCTGCGGGCCACCCCGGAGCAAGGTCTGACTTGAGTGCACCAGTTTTCTGAGAGGTATAAGAGTTAGGGGCCTCTTCCAGTGGCCTGGGGAGTTCAGTAGCTTCTTCCCCTTGAGCAGTCTGGACTGTACACCTTTACTCAGCTTGCTTTCTGTCTGCTGAAAACACACATGTGCCTGTGGGTGATGACAGTACACTGCTTCAAGGAGGAACTGTGTCTTAGAACTTAGCACTTTGTGAGGCGGAGCTTCTCACCACGTAGGATAGAAAGAGCATTCGAGCAGGGTTGCCTTCCTCTGTGAAGAAGGTCATCTCAGTGTGACTCTGCAGCATGCTAGCTATGAAAGACTGGCCTGCTTTATCTTCAGAAATAGTTCTTTGGATCCGGGTGGTACACACCTGTAATCCCAGCACTTGGGAGACTGAGACAGGAGGATTGCTGCTAGTTCAAAGCCATCCTGAACTACATAGCAAGACTGTCTCCAAAACCAAACAAACCAGAGATCGGGCGCATTCAGGGTGGTATGGCCGTAGACGAAACAAACCAAAAGGGCTTTTTGAACTGGGGGATTTACAAATGCAAGCCGAAGATACAGTGTCCTATGTGATCGATGACTTCCTGAAGAAAAGGTCTTCATAATTTATATTATAATATACTTTATTATGTAACATTTGCATTGTTCAGCTATATAAAGGAAATTGAAACTTGAGTCATTCTTAATAGAGTGCTGGTAACTTTCAGTTTATACTAATTTATTTAGAGAATTTTAAAAACTCCAAAAGAAGTCGGCCATCCATGTTGTTTGTCTTCATTTTTCCTCTCCTTTGAATATAAACATTAGTACCCAAACGCAATACTCTGAATTACTTTTTTTCCCCTGGCATGGACTTAGATATTTTCTTGTCATTTTGCTTTCTAAATAATCCAGGGTCTTGCATAAATTACTGATACTTTAAATACAAGGAATAAACTAGCATTTCATTTCAAGTTTATTTATAAGTTCTTATCAAAGATTTCGCAAATTTAAAGTTACACATTTATTATAGGCGAGTTAAATTTGTTTTGTTTTGTTTTTTAATGCAGAAAAACACGATCCGTTATTCATGCACCCGGACCTGTCTTGTGGGACACACACTGGTAGCTGTGGGCACATTATGCATGCCCATTGTTGGCAGAGGTAATTTATATTCTTAATATTAGTCAAGCGAAACTTACCAGAGATCCAAAATTAAAATTTTAATGAAATTCCATTCTAGATAAAAGGGAAAAGAACTAACAGTATTGACCAAATAAATCCATATTGTTGCCTAATAAATAACAAAAGTGATTTGCTTTGTCATAGATGTAAAAAAGTTATTTAAAACTGCAGAGTAGGGCCAGAGATATATGTAGCTCAGTGCTATAGCACCTGCCTGGGAAGCGTGAGGTCATGAGTTCAATTCCCAGTACCAAAACACAAACCCAAACTTCGGAGTACATCAGAAATCTTTTAATGTTGCTTTATAGCATAGTCTGTTTATCCCTCCAAACAAGGGAGTAAATCTGTATTAAGTAACAAACGAGAGCCGGGGATATAGCTCAGCACAAGGTCATAAGTTTGATTACCAGTACAAAAAAAAATGAAAACTAGAAGAGGATAAAGGTGTTTTATGATGCAATAAATCCTCGAAAAGAAAAATAATGTTGCCTTTCTGAGGGTCCAACATGAACAGCTCTTGATGAGTCCCTGTTTATTTCCAAACATTGTAGCGATTCCCTGTGTAAGGTGGGATAAGCCAGCACTTGTTCTCCCGCAGTGCTTTCTGTACCTCTGCAAAGCCAGTCAGCCAGTGCTGTCATTTGAGCGCTGTGCTCCTGGAGCCGTTCGCAGCCGCCCTGGGCGAGCAGCCCGGCCCTGGAGAAGTCCCCAGGCAACAACAGCAGGAGGACATTTCCGTTACTGATTTCCACATGCTTATTTGCAAGTCAGTTTTGTTGTCTCCTTAAATCCATTTTGGTTATGAAAACAACTCAAACGTCATAATACCAAGTATTACAAATAATCTAGTTCTTTTTGTAGTACTTGTGGAAATGATTTAAAATGCTGCAGCTTGTGACTGTCACTGAAATAAATGCCATTGTTTTTGATACCACGTGTTCTCTAATTGTAAAGGTATTTTGATTCCGTTCAAGCTAAAGAGCAGAGAAGGCAGCAAAGATTACGCATACATACGAGCTATGACGTAGAGAGCGGAGAGTTCCTCTGCCCGCTGTGCGAGTGCTTGAGCAATACTGTTATTCCTCTGCTGCTGCCTCCGAGGAGTGTTTTCGGCAGGTAAACTTGGGCTCAAAACACCTTGAAACAAAGCACGTTTGCTCTGAAGTGATGAAATTAATAAGCCGGGGGGAAACAGCCTGTGCAGTTGCACGTTTCCCAGATTCTCTCCGGCCTTCATATTTGATCATTCTGACAATAGGTACAATCTGATTTTGGTTTCTAGAGAGGAATAGGCCATACTTAATAGTTTCTTACTCACCCATAAATGCTATGGAACATATAAAATGCCTATGTATTCTCAAAAACTGTCTTCTTTGATTTTAGGGAACTTCCTTTAAATACCATCCTCATGCTTTGTAAAGATGCTCGCGAAACTGAGAAGTTGAGATGGAGCAACCCAACAGTTGAATAGTTTTTTTCTTTTTTTTTTTGTCTTTTTGAGACAGGGTCTTGCTATGCAGTTCAGGCTGGCCTTGAGCTCACTTTGTAGCCCAGGCTGACCTCGAACTCAAAACAATCCTCCTGCCTCAGCCTCCCGAGTGCTGGGATTACAGGCATGTACCACCATGCCCAGCTTTCCTGTCATTTCATAACTTGGGATACTTTTAGACAATAGAAGTATTGGATACAGCCCTTTTATGTATGAACATGGTGCTGTCTCCTGTTGAGATCTAAACTCTGAGTTTTAGGACTGTGTTGCCCACCTTACAAGTGCACATACACATCCGAAGTCCCCAGTGCATCTGTATAACGGCAAAACATCTTAGATTTTATTGCAGTTTGTATTTCGGGTTTTGACTGGGAGTGCTCAACTGATGGAGTTTGTGCAAATATTCCAGAGTCAGAAACTCTCTGAAATCCAAAATACGTCTTTCTGATTTCAAATACTCCCATACAGGATATTCAAATTGTATCAATTTAAGTTTTATGAATATGAATCATTATTTCTGTCCAGTTACTTGGATTCAGTTCAAAGCAAAGTCAGGTTTTTCTCTTTAATTTCAGGGGTTCAAGCTTCGATGTCCTAGTCTTCTATGCTACCACAAAATAATATTAAAATACTAGTGGGCTTCATTGGTAACTCATGCTTTTTAAAACCATGAAAGGGTATCATGGTGCTGATGTCCTCCTGCCTTTGAACTGATAAGAAATCACTCATTGTTAAATTAAGGATTAGCTCCATATTAAGAAATTACCTTGGTTGGATTTCACCTGTCACTTTGGTGGTTCCATTTTGGGGTGTTCTTCCCAAGAGAGTCGTAGTTTGAGGCAGTTACAGAAAAAACACAACCTTTAAAGAGTCCGTCAGGGCTGAGTTGGCCCTGACAGAGCCCGGCTCCTATGGCCTTACAGTGCATTGCTCTAAACCTCATTTTTCTCATCTGTAAAATGCAAACAGTAAAGACAGCCTAAAAAAAAAAAAAAGACAGCCTATCTCTAGGGATATTTTGAGGATTAAATCTAATACTGTAATATGGTTACAGTAAAGTGCTCTTCTAAGAGCTTGTCACATAATAAGCACTTGCTAAACATGAGTGATGCTGCTAATTGTTATATTTAAGAAATTTTAGCAAATTCTAGAATGAAAAATGAAATTTTTAACATTATTAGCATCATTTTTGACAATATACTTTCATTGCCATTGGTCTATATCTGGTCTGACTTTTTTCTAATGCAACAGATTTTTCCTAGCCTTTTTTTTTTAATACTTGAAGTGTGTCTAAAGTATTGCATCTGTGACAGTTTAACAAATTTTTTGTGTCTTAAACTAAACAACAACAGTAGAGTATTAAATGTTCTTCATGATCTTTTCTAGCAGGTTAAATTTTTCAGACCAACCAAATCTGACTGAGTGGGTTAGAACAGTATCTCAGCAAATAAAAGCACTACAGAGTCTGAGGAAAGAAGAAAATGCTCCCAGTAAGTGCTGGTAACCTGCTTTCTTTTTTCTCTGAACTATTTCCAGACGAAATTATTTTAAAGTATTTAAAAGTGAAAACTTTCATTTAAAAATTCGGTACATTTTCTACATGAGCAACACAACAAAAGATAATTTGAAGAGCAAAATAAAAGATTAATAGGAAAAAGTAAATAAAAAGTTGGTATTTCTGATTTTCCTTGTTTCAGTACATAGAGTTTGATTTCACCACATTGTTCTTCATCCCTGGAAAGCGCACAGCTGCAAGGTTGGGCATGACCACCACACCCCACACACCCCACACCCACACACACACCCGCCGCCCTGGGTGGAGCCTCCCGGCCGCGGAGCGGGGACTGAGGCTGACGGCACCTCTAGTCTCGTGCCGGTGCACGTTACTGTGCGCAGCACCCAAAGCTTCCCAAGTTTCATGGACCGCACTGCACTTAGGACTCAAGGGAAAGTAGTGTGAGCAGATTTGTGTCATCGGCTTCCACAGGAACAAAACAGCAGCATTTCCTTCGTGTCCTAGTGGCTCTTTATAAGGAAAAAAGCACAGGCAGCTGAAGAAAATGCTCTGGTCCTGCTCCCTTCAGCAGCACATGGACTAGAAAATGCTTTGGTCAACAGCACTAATGCCTCATGCTTTATATTGCTATTATGCAATTCTTATTAATGAGAATTTTTTCCTGTTTTTAAATTTTTTTACTCACATAACTGAAATATATAGAAATATTACAATTTGAATAATGGAATAAAATGCCTGTTTCTGTAGATACTGCCTCTTCAAAGAATTCAAAGAACATGGATCAGTTACAGCTCCCTGAAGGTTTCAGGCCTGATTTTCAACCTAAGTAAGTACACTATTCTCTCTTTCCTTTCCCCTCTGTTTTTATTTGTTTCGTTTTGCTTTTGTTGTTGTTTTTTGAGACAGGGTCCCACTGTATAATCCACACTGGCCTTGAACTCACCATGTAGCCAGGCATTGATCTAAACCTTATTTGATCCTCCTGCTTCAGCCTTCTGTGTTCTAGGATTACAGGCATGTACCACCATGCCTCGCCCTTTATTCTCTCACCTTCGGCCCACTTGAAATGCAAAATCAAATTAGTTAGGAGGACTGTGATTTGGCAAACTGTAGAGTAAAATGTTGTAGGACACTCAGCCCAAATTCTGAGGTTAAGCATTTGTGGTTATATTTATTGAGGTATATTATAAAAGAAAAGTGGAGTAAGCCGATAGACAGCAGGCCAAAACAGCAGTTCAAAAAATTCACTGGAAAAATTTACTGGGGAAAAAACTTGGGAAGATCTGTCAGTGTCAGGTGGCCTGTGGCTGGTTTAACTTTCCCCGGTCCTTCCTGCCACGCCTCTCTGACAGCCTGCTACTCTATGTGTCTGTCTCTCTTTCACACCACATCAAAGTCTAAATCAAACTTTTCCACTTCCTCACCACATCCTCTTTCCTTGCGGCTTCTTACTTCCACCTTTGGATCCGCCAAACTGCTAGTAACCTGGGATCAAAATCAGAGTATCTTCTTTCCTGTTGTACCCCATTTACAAAGTAGAGCTTAGATTTTGGAGCCAGACTAGTTGGTTCAGTTCCCAACACCAGTGCTTCGTAGTTGTGCAACTTTGAGCAAGTTGCTGAACCTCTCTGTACCTCATCTGTAAAGTGGGGATGGCTCCTAGCTGTCATAAGGGCAAGGTGGCAGGAGCATGTAAAGCCGCTGGGAGCTGAGCCTGGGCTAGGCTTAGTAACTCGGTCAGAACTGGAAGGCTTAACAGAAAAGCATCAGTCTTCAGCCTCCGTCCGTACTCCTCCCTACCCCAGCCTTGTCATTTTGGCTTTTCTAGTATTGACTTCCACATTTCTAATCAGCATTCTCCTTCTTTTGGCTAGTAAATTACTGCACAATTTTTGGTTAAGTCAGTTGTTGGTCTTTACAATATAACTGTGTTCCTGGTGGTGCCCACCTGTAAACCCAGCACTCCTGAGGCTGAGGCAAAAGGATTGCAGCAGGTTTGAGACCAACCTGGGCTACATAGTGAGATCAAGGCCACCCTGAACTACATAGCAAGACCCTGTGTAAAAAAAAAAAAAAAAACAAAATAGCAGCAGAAACAAAAAACCTCAGTGTCTTTGGATGTAAGTTGAGTAATTATGTCCCCTTTCTTGTACAGCTGTGTCTTTCCTTCGTTGGTACTGTTTTGTTTTTTTTCTTGCACTTGGTTTTCTGTCCATGTACTGGGGGCGTTTTTTTCCCTGAGTGGTGCAGATCTGTCAGGTGCCGGGCAGTTGCCCTTCCACACCAGTCGGGAGAGGCCACCGCTGTCCTCTGGAGATTCTGCTGGCTGCGCTCCTCTGGCTTCCTAGCTCATGTCTCTTCTGCTTTCGTGATTTACTCCCTTTGCACAGGACCGCCCTTCACACATTCCTAAGGAAGGCTCCCTGGATGCCCCGTCCTCATGTGTGAAGTAAAGTATATTATGTCCATGGCCTGATTGCTAACTCGGGAGTAGCCCTTCCGGCTAGAAGGAATTTTTTGTCTAGATTTTTACAGCATTGTTTATTAATTTCGGGCATCCATTGAGAAGTAACCCCATTCTCATTTCTATTCCCATGTGACTTTATTGCTTCTGGGCACCACTGGGATCTTCTTTCCTCACTGCTGTAAAATTTCTCTGTGACATTCCTTTGCACATGAGTCGTTTTCCTGCATTTGGCTGAGTTCTCAGTAAATTTTTTTGAACTTCAAAGTTTGTGTCTCTGGGGCTGGGGATTTAGCTCAGTGGCACAGCGCCTGCCTGGCAAGCGCAAGGTCATGAGTTCGATTCCAGGTACTGGAAAAAAAACAAAAAAAAAATTAAAAACAAAGTTTGTGTCCCTCAATTCTGAGCACTCTGAGCACTTTTTATGTGCTCTCTTAGGTCCTTTTCCGCTCTTGGATGTTCCTAGGGTCAGTCCTACTGGTCTCCTGCATTGGCCTGAGACTGACCCTCTCATTTTGTTTGCAGGCTGTCTCTGTCCCCTGAGTGCTTTCCCCTTCCTGTTTTGGCCTGCCATCTCTTTGCTGTCCTTCGGTGTCTTTTACTCCTTGGGTAGCTAAGAAGGCACTAAGAAGCTATGTGGGTACTGGTGGGCAGGTCGGCTTTCTCCCAGGAGCTTCACAGCAAGGTGACCAAGCTGCCACCTCTTTCTTGGGGACTCTAAAATGTCGGTATGAAAAATAAATACATTAAATGTCAATATGTAGAGCAACTTTTTACCCAGGATGCCTCACTATAAAACCAGTCTCGGTGGCAGTGGGTGTGCATTGCTGACATCCTCGGGGTGGGAAGGAGACGGCATAGGAGCCCACCTTTAACTCTATCCGTTTGCCTGTTGCCCTGTTTTCTCCCCTGTACCTCACCCCTGTAACCCGAGAGCAAAACTCCTTTTAGGCCAGGACAGTCGCTCTCTTTGATTACCCCTTCGCATACAGCTGTCACCAGTAGAGAGAGCCGCTCAGCCTGAACTGTTTTATTGATATGTACACATTGTCCTGAGCTAATCCGGTATGTGTTCATGGTAGGAACCCTTACTCTGAGAGCATTAAGGAAATGCTAACAACATTTGGAACTGCTACCTACAAGGTGGGACTAAAAGTTCACCCCAATGAAGAGGATCCCCGAGTGCCCATAATGTGTTGGGGTAGCTGTGCATACACCATCCAGAGCATAGGTAAGAGATTTACAGCTGTTTCTCTTCAGTTCCTATGTCGATACGAATTGTGTATAGAATCTTGGTTTTAAGCAGATGTTTAAAGTGGACAACAGTACGAAAAAACAGCTTTAAAATCAAGAAGTGTAGTGCGCCGACAGAATGTTAGCTTAATTTATAAATTAACCACAGCAACAGAGAACTCATTCTCCTATAGTTATAGTCTTGTCAGTTGAGGGAAGCTGTGTTTATTTTTACTTTTCTTCCAAAGTCAGTTGTCATGAGATGATTTAAAGATTCCAAAACTAGTTCTGCAGAAAGAATTGGCTGTTCTAGTTTTTTAAAAATTCTGGTAACATGTACACAAGTTTTACCTTCTTTATTTTTAATGTGCAGAAAGGATTCTGAGTGATGAAGATAAGCCGCTGTTTGGTCCCTTGCCTTGCAGGCTGGTAAGTTCTTGGCTTGTGCAATTCATGAGAGGCTGGGGTGGAAATCACACTTTCAAACCTGAAATTGATTCTTTAACTTTGTGTTCACTCTTTTCAGAGTAAAACTCATCTTCCATTAGGATAGAGAAGAAATAATGTCTGTAATTTTTCTTTGAAATAGATTTTTGGAAGTAACTATGCCTCTTCATCCAGAGCTATTGGTTAAGCCCTTGAAAAGAAGGGGGAAGGGGCTGGGGATTTAGCTCAGCGGCAAAAGCGCCTGCCTGGCAAAGCGCAAGGTCGTGAGTTCGGTTCCCGGTACCAGAGAAAAACCAAAAAAAAAAAAAAAAAAAGAAGGGGGAAACCTAAAAACAGGGGATCTTATTTTTGAATTTCTAATGCTATCATGGGAAATATAAAACAGAACACATGCTCTGCTGTATTTGACACCTGTGATAAGAACACGTGAGCACGTACGTGCAAGTTGGTGTCAGGCTGCGTGCACTGCATGCCGGGAAGATGGGGAGGGCGTTTTCTGACCAGGCTCCCTCGTTTTCACCGTGTAGCCGGAGTCTGACGGGTCACACGCCCCCCACTGCCCAGGTGCATTTGCTTCCTGCTGAGACCCACCTGCTGTCTTGGTTTGTGTGGCCCTCCTGGCTTTCTTCCTCTTGCTTCAGATGCTCCTTTTCTGTGTGCTCGTCCTCCTTCAGCCTGTAATTATCACAGTCTTTAAACCCCCGGCCTTCTGCCTGTGCCCCGCAGGCATGTGCTGCTCCTCTCTGCGCAGCCTGATCTGTGCCTCTGACTGCAATGAGAGCCCAGTGGTTCCCACCTGTGTATCTCCAGTCTGTACTCCATCTTCGGTCAGGTCTCTGTTAACTATGTTCATTTGTTTGCTTCCCATCAGGCTCTTCTAAAAGTACCTTGAAGTCTAATAACGCAAATCAGTTTCTCTCCCTGTATTCTGTGACTTAGTCACGACTATCCAGCCAGGTGACCAAACCAGAAAACGGAAATGCTGTTGGATGTGTCCTGTGGACTAGGCACTTATTTGCATCCTTGTACCAGTGGATAGCAGTCTCTTAACTTCTTGCCATTCCTCTGCTTGTTTGGCTTTTCCATCCATTTGTGTGTATGAGAGAGAGAGATACCTGGAATTGAACCCAGGACCTTTGCATTAAGCTATATCCCCATTCCTTTTCTTATTTTTTATTTTGATAAAGGACCTCACTGAGTTTTCCAGGCTGGGCTTGAACTTGTGATCCTCCTGCCACAGCCTCCCAGAGTGCTGGGGTTACAGGCGTGCACCACCATGCCTGGGTCCATATCATTTCTTACCTAGATTGTAGTAGGCAGTTTCTAATTACACCCTTCCCTGTATGTGATCAGAAGGCTTCCTCCAAAAAGCAACCCTGGTCATATTCATGCTTTTATTTATTTATTTTTAAACGGGAAAGAGGTGTATTTAGCTCATAGTTTATAGAGGTTTCAGTCCCTAATCAGGCTCTAGGACAGAGGGGAACATGGCTGAGGGGCAACAGTTCCTGGTGGCAGAAGACAGCAAAAGCAGAGAGAGAGGATATTCATGCTTTTATAAACACCCTATCCATTATCAGCTTCTGCCGGTTCCCACCTCCATGGTTCTGTCAGGTAGAGTCACATAGAATCCGAAGTGCTGTTCTCCCAGAACTCGGGCATATTCCTTTCCTCTGTGCTTCAGGCTGCTCTTCCAGCTCTGCTTCCCCGAGACACCTCCGTCCCCTCTTCTCCTCCCTCCCCAGACTCCAGGGCTTCAAGCTTCAGGGAGCTGGAAGAGGAAGGGTGAATTCTCATTTGAGGAGCATCAAAACCAAGACCTAGAGCCGTAGTACTTAATCAAACAGCGTTACTGAAAGCGCGCAAGGTAGAGAATAAACAAGAACAGAAATCTCATCACCTCTTTCCTTGCCCATCTTTATTTATACGTGATCATAACTGATTTTCAAAATCAAGAGCTTTCCTCTTATTATTACTTACTCTTCATAACAGTTTTGAATGGGTGCAGACACCCTGATTTCTGGATCTGTCCTTTTGTTATATAGCTTCCCCAATATTTCTTACAGTTCCCACGTTTTAGAGTACCTCTAGAATAAACAGAAGAAATGCCTCATCAGCCACTCTGAGCATGTGTTGCTGGCCCTTTGCTGGTCCCTGTACAGGTATTTTAGTTCCTTTTCAGGGAGAACCCAGCACCACGTGGCAAGGACATAGCTTGCTGTTTATGAGCAGCCTGATAGCAGTGTCCCCCTGCACTCACGTTATTGGAGAATTGTCAAGAGAGAGGTCGTGGGTGCCACTCCATCCCCTGTAGAGACTCGATTGTATGTGCAGCTGTTGTACTTGGAACCAGCATTTGCAAGAGAAGAGGCATGCTTCTTCATTGGCTTCTTTTCTTTTTTCTAGACAGGGTCTTGCTACGTAGTTTCCACTGGTCTTGAACTTACTGTGTAGCCCATGTTGGCCTCAAACTCACAGGGATCCTCCTGCCTCCGCCTCCTGAGTGCTGGGATTACAGGCTTGTGCCACCACACTCAGCTTGGCTTCTTTGACAATTGTGTCCCTTTCTCTGTTACAGGATGATTGTCTTAGGTCACTGACAAGATTTGCAGCAGCACATTGGACGGTGGCATCACTTCCGGTGGTACAGAGACATTTTGGTAAACTTTTTGCATGTGAGTATTAATAGATGTACTTTGTATGTAATGGTAATTCCTCATCTGAAATAGTTTTTAGCATTGTAATGTCTCGGTTATGAATGAAATATTTGGTAGAACTGTTACGGAACCTCTAGCTCATAAATTTATATATAGCTTGCAAAAAGAAAAATTTAAACTATATCTTAGGAATTGTAACTTAATGTTGACACTTAAACTGTACTAATATATTTTTCTTTAAATCTTTAGCATTGGTACCTAATGACAGTTATGATGACATTCCGTGCATACTAGATATCGACATGTTTCATTTGTTGGTGGGTATCTTCTAGATGAAGTTCTTGTTATTGTACTACGGAGCTTGAGTTTAGGTTTGAGTAGGGTAGAGAGATACAGGAGTTGTCTAGGATATGATTACCATGTTGTGTAGAATTCTTTCCTGAGGAGTATCCCAGTGTTTTAAGGCCCCTAGTTAAGAGAGAGACCTGATCTGGATGTCTAGATGTCCTCCCTCCCTTATTTTGCTTTGTGACTCATGTCGGTAACCTAACCTCTCTGCTTTTAAGCTATAAAGGAATAAAACGAACACCAGCAGAGTTAGGGTGGCTGCTGGCCCATACAGTATTTTTGTGCCTTTTTGAAAGTCCAGACAGTTATGCCAATCAGAGACTAGACAACCCCTGTTAAGGATTCAGTGAGAGGTGCTTGTGCGCTGGGGCAGGACACGCGGCTGGTGTGCTCCTGGTCGTGAATTTCAGCCCCACCTCTTCTGGGTCCTCCTGCACAGGCTACAGATGCACTGCCGCACAGATCAGTCTCACATTCCGTCCCCTTAATCTCCAGACCTCAGCTTCTGTTCCTCTAAGTCAGTTACTCCCTGCCTCATTCCATCGTTTCGCAGCTCAGTGGGTGGATCGTTGTAAAGAGCTTAGAGCAGTGTATTCCTAGTCAGTGTCAGCTGTGGGTGCTTGCATTGGGACTGCACAACCACCTCCACCCCTACCAGCAGCCAGAGGCCAGCAGAGGCTTTCACTGTCCGCTGCCTTCTCGGCGACATTGACCTGTCTAAAAGCTCATAGGAAAGATGCTGGGGTTTGTATCAAGGTCTCTTCTTGATCCAAAACCCATACTTTTTCCATTACTCATTGCCTGGAAAGATTCCAAGTGTTCTTGTTGCTAGCAGTAAGCTATGTGTGGAAGAACCCCTGGATAAGTGAGATGAAAGGGGCCCACTGGGACCCCTGATCTCTCAAGTCCATGATTTAGCCAGTTCTGGCAGATTTTCTGAGGTGTACACCCTAAGAGCAAAGATGTCTTACGGGGGCCTGAGCTCCGAAGGGCTGCAGTGGGGCAGTGACACCGGTCTCACCGTGAGAGGAGCAGTGTCTGATGTCCTGTGTCTGGTGTCTAGGTGAGTTTGGTGCTCGCTTTCCCTGCCCTGCAGTGTCAGGATTTTTCAGGGCTCAGCCTTAGCACTGGAGACCTGCACATCTTCCACCTGGTTACTATGGCGCACATCATACAGATCTTACTGACCTCATGTACAGGTAAGTCCTGCCTTTCCCTCGACACCTGGAAGGAAGTCCTTGCATTTTCTCGGTCAAAAAGTATTAACCAGGTTACGTACATACACCACCTCCCCACAAGGAATGTAACCGTTATGTCATGCAAACACGTACTAATAAACCCTTAAAATAAATACAGACAGTATTAGTCAGGCACAGGGCTTCTCACCTGTAGTCCCACTGAGGTGGGAGATTGTGAGACTCTGTCTCAGAGACAGAGAGGAGGAGGGAAAGAAAGGAGACAGATGTTAGGCGTATGAGAATAATATAATTAGGTTTTGTTTTTTTTTTTTTTGGTTTTTCTCCGGTACCAGGAACCGAACTCACGACCTTGCGCTTGCCAGGCAGGCGCTTTTGTCGTTGAGCTAAATCCCCAGCCCCGAGAATAATATAATTAGGCTACCTTATTTTTCTGTTAAGTCCCATGAAAAAGTTTGGAAAGAAATTTCTTTCTCCTGCTAAAATCCCCTAACAGTGTCAATGTCTTTACTATTATTTCCTAAGTTCATTAATATTCAAGTATCACAGTAGTCAAGCCCCTTAGAATTGTGTTTGAATTTACACATCTGTTGCTGTCCCCATGAGCCCGGCGCTGAGCTCTGTTACTTGCTGCTTCCAGACGTTTTGAGACACTGAGCTGGTTTGCCCGCAGCGCACCTGCTGGCGCTCAGTCTGATGGGGATCAGCGTGCACTCACACTTGAAGGATTCGGTGCTGTGTCTGTCCCGAGTCATGAGTAAACGACAACACAGGGAAATTGCAATGTGCGGTGTTTTATCTTTCAGAAGAGAACGGCATGGATCAGGAAAACCCCACGGGTGAAGAAGAGTTAGCAGTGCTTGCTTTGTATAAAATACTTCACCAATGTACAGGAAGGTGAGACCGTGACCCTTCTGTGACAGGCTGCCCTGGACGTTAGTGGGGGTCAGTGTGCGGAAGGAGTTCGTTTGTTAGCGAGGGGAAGCTGCTGTCTGTCAGCATGTTTAGAAAAAGAAAAGAGACAGGGTTGGCCTGCAAGGCCTTGACACACTGGCACAGTTGGAAACATCTTAGGGAAAGGTGGTGACCGCCAAGATTCCTGCGTGACTCCAGCACCAACTTGGGATAGATGTACTTGGGAAAGTCCTTCGCTAAACTAGGTTGCCGCATTAGGAATTCCAAAATGCCAGCTGAGTTGGTACAGTATATCTTTAAGATGATATCCAGGGACAGAAGAAGTGAAATCACTAGAACATCACATACTGTTGGAGTCATGGAGATCAGGTTCAGCAGTTTGACTCAGGCTTTGTTTTTTTGTTTGTTTCACTCAGGTTTTTGAGAGTGTATGTAAAAGAACCTTGCTCTTTGACCAAGTTATCCCATTTTTGAGAATCTGTGCTAAAAAATAATCCACATATAGAAAAACCTGTAGGCATATAAAGATACGCATTCTGATATTATTTATATTAGGCAAAAATTGAAAGTAAGCTGTGTTTGCCTACAGGAAATAATTTGGAGAGAGTTATGAATGGTGTGTTCCGAAATAAACTTGTGAAAAATTATGGCAGATAGTGTTCTGGGAAACGTGTTAATTTTAAATTTCATGTGTTGCATTTATAATTCTGTAAGACAGTTAGTATGAAAATAGTTTGTCGGTGTAATACTTGCTGGCGTGAGATGCTGTCATAGCTGGTGGCTCTTCATTTGCTAGATTTTCTTTTCATGGCTGCGTCGCTTCTGTAAAAACAGCGCTGGAGGCTGTCATTGCTCACACCTGCCGTCCTGTAGTAGTCCAGGCCGCGCCAGCCTGCTGACCCACACCTGCTAAGCCTTACCTGTACACGGTGGTCGTCTCCGTTTGCACATTATCTTCAGGATGATCTTTTCCTACTGGTTTCCTAATAGTTGTTTCCTGACCTTCAGTGCCTTGAGAGAAATACCCTCTGGCTGGCACCTGTGGCGGAGTGTCAGAGCTGGCATCATGCCTTTCCTGAAGTGCTCGGCTTTGTTTTTTCATTACCTAAATGGAGTTCCATCGCCACCTGACATTCAAGGTACCTGCTTATCTCTTTCAAAATGTAGGAAACATTTGTAATCTTTTCGCTCCAGAAGTTTAGAATAAAAGTGACTTGCAAAAACACAAACTGAAAGTTTAGAGCAAGCTAATCAACTCTATACTATATATATCTGGGTCTGCATTTTCTTTAAATCTCAGTAAATGCACTGTTAAACTTTTCGTTTTAATTTGCAAAGCAAAACAGTTGTTTTGGGGGATGGAAATGTAGTCAGGGGTAGAGTACTTGCCTAGCGTGCACAAGGCCCTGAGTTCAATCCCCAGTACCACACACACAAAAAAAAAATTGTTTTGTAGTTGCCACTGCATTTGCAGAACACTTCTCCCATAAAAATCTTTCGTTTTGCGTTCAGATGTTAAGTTGCTCATTTGTATTTCATAAACTGTGTTCCTCAGATTTAAAGCGTGAAAACTGACCAATGTGAGTGACTTTTAATTTGAAACATGACTTTGAAGTTCAGAATACCGAAAACACACATAAATTCAATTTTAATGTGCGAGTGAATTTTTTGTTTCCGTTGTTCCCCACTCACTCTTGTGGCTGATTTATGAAAGCAGTGTACAGGCCACCTTAACTGCACCTCTGCATTCCAACAGCCTGGTGCTACTGTCAGAGCGCGCCTACATGTAATGCTATTCTCTAAAAACTTGACTGGCCTCTCCATCTGTTCATTGCCCAGACACCAGACACCATAAAGGATAGCTTAGGCTCCCAAAATTTTACGGACATGCTCAGAGTCGTGTGTAGGTCCATCTCTTGTAAAGAAAACATCTTCTGCCAGAAGTGGTAGCACTAGCTTGTAATCCCAGCTCTTGGGAGCCTGAGGCAAGAGGATCTTAGTGAGTTCAAGGTCAGCCTGGGCTACATAAGCAAGTTCAAGGCCAACCTGAACCTACATAGTGAGACCCTGTCTCAAAAGAAAGAGACACCATCTTCTACTTCTGTCCTGCTGTAACGTTCCCAGAGCATCCATATGTTATTTTTGTCACTTCATGTTCACAGTAACCTTGTGAAGCAAATTGTGCAGCTACACCATTTCACACATGGTCAAGCTGAGACAGGAGGGCTGGGGATTTAGCTCAGCGGCAAAAGCGCCTGCCTGGCAAGCGCAAGGTCATGAGTTCGGTTCCCGGTACCGGAGAAAAACCACCAAAAAAAAAAAAAAAAAAAAATTAAGCTGAGACAGGAGAAGGTTGTGCCCCGTTTGGGGTAGGAGTCGCGTGACCCTACTCTGTCCGTGGCCGGCCACTCTTACTTCCTGAAAGTTACACATCTAGCAAATCTGAATCTTTTGTCATAGCTTTTTGTTTTATTTTAACTCTGCGATTGCTTACACCCACACAGGATGTGCTCTTGGTTCTTACATGTATCACTCTTTTCTCTTCCATTTGCAGTTTCAGAAACAAGCCATTTTGAACATTTATGTAACTATCTTTCCCTGCCAACCAACCTCATTTGCCTTTTCCAACAAAATAGTGAGATAATGAATTCGCTGATTGAAAGGTAATGACCATGCACTTTTCTATAAGATACCAGATAGCTACATGAAACCAGCTTCAGTTTTTCACATATATGGCAAAATTCTCAGGCTGTTAAAATTCCAGCTATAAGAATTAGATAAGATTCGGCTTTTGGATAAGATTTTTGCCAAGCCAGTAAGCAGATTTGCCTAAAGGGTGCAGTGGTAGAAATGTTGATTGAACTTGTGAAGGGCTCTGTTGCATAGATTTTTAAAGCTGAAAGAAACCTGGAGGATTATCTAGTCCAGTGTGTTCACTGTGTATGTGAGACGTGGAGGTCTAGAGGAGTTAACCTGCCACTTGTGTCAAGTCAGGGACTGGGAAGAGACGCGTGGCGGTTCTGCCCACAGAAGTCAAACAGTGTGCAGTCATCCATGAGGGGCTGGCATCCTGAGTGTGTCTGTCTGGACTCCTACAAGTGAACGGCAGAAACAGAACAACCTAATTAAAAATGGCCAAAGAGGACCGGGGACATAGCTCAGCGGCATAAGCGTTTGCCTGGCAAGCCTGAGGTCATGAATGCGATTCCCAGTACCAGAAAAAAAAAAATAAAAAAATAAAAATGAAAATGGCCAAAGATCTTATGTACCCATTTCTTCAAAGAAGATAAAAAAGGGGCCAGTGAGCACGGGGACAGATGCTCGGTGTCACTGGTCATACTGGGAACGTAGGCGCCGGCTTTATGCACAACAGGAAGAGCTATGGTTTTCGTTTGGTTAGGGGAATGCCTTTATGAAGTCTAGTAAAATAAATATTTTTTCTTTTTATTATTAGTGCCAGTTAATGTTACAGAACAGTGAGTTTCAGTGCTTCTAACCTATTTTGGTCATACACACCCCCGTTACCCTCCCATACACCTCCTCCTCCCCTCTTCCTCCCTCTTGTCTAATCATCTTTTTAAAATTCCATATACTAGGGAAAAGGTACAGTATTTGTCTGAGTCTGGCTTATTTCATTGAGCATGATGATGGCAGATCCCTCCGTTTTCCTGCATATAGCAGTCTCATTCTTTTGGCTGATACCGCACTGTGTGTACACCATTGTCTATCCGTTCATCTGCCGATGGGCGCCCAGCTAGCTCCCTGTCTTGGCCGTTTTGAGCTGTGCCTCCGTAAACATGGGAGTGCAGGTATCCTAGAGTATGCTGACTTGAGTTTCTTCCATAGTTGGGGTTTTTTGGGGAAGAGGGTGCTTTGCTTTTAAGAAAAATAATTAGTATTGGCAAGGGAGTGGAGACATGGGTGTCCTACTGCGTTGCTGGTGAGAACAGGAAGGACAGTGCCCCTGGGGAAGCAGCGTGGCGGTTCCCCAGAAAGCCAAGCGCAGAGGGACTGATGCCCAGCACTTCCGCTAGTAGTGCACATGGCAAGAGAGTGGAAAGCCACCTTGAGGAAAGCCCGGCCCAGCCGTGTCTCTAGCAGCTTAGCATAGCCAGCGTGCGGAAACAGCCCGGGGTTTGCCAGCCGTGCGTGGAGAACAGAAAGGGGAGGGTGCACGCACACAGTTACAGTACGCAGCCTGAGCAAGGAAGAGCTCCCTGATGCAGGCAGAGCATGGGCGGAGCTGGAGGACTGTGTGCTAAGTGAAATAAGCCAGGCCTGAGAAGACAAATACTGTGCACTTTAGTGAGGTACCTGAGTAGTCACATTGATGAGACAGAAGCTGATTGGGGGTTGCCAGGAGTCTGGGGGCAGCACAGGCTGTTTAATGTTTAGTGTTTCATTTAGTAACAATGACAAGGTTGTGGATATGGATGGTGGTAGGTGGCCAGCAGGGTGTGCTGAGTGCCACAGAATTGGTGTACATAAAAATGGCAGGCCTTACAGAGAGCTAGGCACAGTGGGTGCACACCTGTCATCCCAGCTATGTGGGAGGCTGAGGCAGGGGAATCTCAAGTTCGAGGCCAGCCTGGGCAACTTAGCAAGACCATGTCTCAAGATAAACTACAGAAAGGGCTGAGGACATAGCTTGGTGGTAGAGTGTTTGCCTAAGGTATGCAAGCCTCTGAATTCAACCTTCAGTAGCAAGGGGGAAAGAAAGCTTAGCTAAGGGTATGGCTTAGTGGCCAAGCATTTGCATATCACGCAGAAGCCCTGAGTTCAGTCCTTAGCCCCCCCAAAAAAGATGTCTTCTGGCTGTAGATAATGTGAGCTTGCTAATTTAGACTGGTTGTACAGGGAACTCAGGTTAGGGTAATAAAGTATATAGCTGCAAAATTTAATGTTAAGCATCCTTGCTTTTACAAAAGTGAGATACTGTCTCAAAAAAAAAAAGAAAACAAAAGCTGGGCGTGGTGGTGCACACCTGTAATGCCAGCACTCAGAAGGCTGAGGCAGGAGGATTGCGAAGAGTTCCAGGCCAGCCTGGACTACAAAGTGAGTTCAAGTCCAGCCTGAACTACATAGTGAAACCCTGTCTCAAGTCGGGGATATAGCTCAGTGGCGCAGGCACCTGCCTGGCAAGCACAAGGTCCTGAGTTTGAGTCCCGGTACAAAAAAAAATAAAAATAGAGTCTTTCAGAAACCCTGTCTCAAAAAGACCAAAAAAGAAAGTTGCAGGCAAAATACAGTATTTTTTCTAGGTTTCTTTTGATGAGGTAAATATATTAAGAAGGTTAGTTTGCTTTTATTAGCTGTAGAGGGCAAACAATTCTAGTTCTATCCCTTTAAAAATAAAAATTTCTATTTTTTCCCTCTCTGTATTAAAGCTGGTGTCGTAACAGTGAAGTTAAAAGATATCTAGAAGGTGAAAGAGACGCAATAAGGTAAGTTAAAGGTGCTCGAAGGTTTTATGGGAGGGTAGATGTTAGGGAGTACATGCAGGATAAAAATACTGTTCCCTCAAACCTGATTTCCTAAGACTTCCATGATTCTCAGAGGTACAGCATCATGCCTTCATACTCCTGAGTCTAAGGGTGAGGGTTTATGAAAGTCAGAACTGAGGAGATAGCTTGGCTGCAGTATTCTTGGTGAAAGAAAGAGATAACAAATTTTTATATCTTATAATTTGTTTTAGAACATGTAGGGTCTAGTCAGGTGCAGTGGCTCATGCCTGTAATCCCAAATACTCAGGAAGTTGAAGCAGGAGGAACACAAGTTTGAGGCCACCTTAGGCAACTTAGCAAGACCCAGTCTCCAAAAAAAAGGCTGGGCATGGTGGCCCACGCCTGTAATCCTAGCACATGGGAGGCTGAAGCAGGAGAATTGCTGCAAGTTCAAGGCCAGCCTGGACTACATAGATCCTGTCTCAAAAAATAAAGAGGGGCCAGGGATATAGCTCAGGGGCACAGCACTTGTCTGGCGAGCACAAGGTCCTGAACTCAATTCCCGGTACCAAATGGAAAGGAAGAAGGACTTGGGGGTGTAACTGAGTTGTAGAACCCTTGCCTAACATGCGTGAGCCCCTGGGTGCAGTCCTCAGTCACACACACACCTTGTCAGCCCTCTTCTAGTCTTGGCTCTGGTTTTTGTCTCTCTTTTATTAAGGATATTTTCAAACTATCCAAAAATATAAAGCATACAGTATAGTACGATTCCACTTGTCACCTGTCATTAATAACTATCAAATCATGCATCAGAATAACCTCGGGAACTTCGGTCAGTATCGAAGCCTCTCTCCACCAGGTCTGATTTCTCAAAAGGTGGCGTCCTAGCCTGTGACCAGCCCCAGAACTCCCCCCGGTGATTGTGGTAGGGTTCAGAGCCACCGTCTGAGTCACTGTCCCTCGGTGAAGCCCCTGCCTTGTCTTTGCTGCGGGTGAAAGGCCACACCACAGCCCACATGGGGACAGGCACATGCGTGTGCAAGTAATGCAGCCCTCACACTGGTCAGATTTGGATCTAAGTTTTTCTCAATTCAAGTCACAGAATCAACGTGACTTACTCTCTCTAACTGAAAGAAGGTGCTGCTGCCTTCTGTCGTCCAGCCCACGTCACCTCCAGTCACTCCTCACAAGCCCACCCTTCTGTCCTCGCCCCACCACCACCACCACCGCCTGCCCTGGGTTCCCTGGCTGCGCTCTCTCCTCTCCCCGGTGTTTAGGTGGAAGCTGAGAAGGCGTAGCTTCCTCCCTCCCCTTCTTCCTCCACCTGCCCTGGTCATTTAGCCTGAGCCCTCTGAGTAGAAAATGTGAGCCCTAAGACACTGTGGCGTTGGGACCACGTCTTTGATTTCTGAATCTGACTCATACCACTCGCACAGCATGTGACCACTCAGATTCCCTCTTCGTGTATTCGATTGGGCTAAGCCAAGACTCACCGTTATTACGCGATGACCTTATATTAACTGAGGCTTTATCTTTTTACTTCTCTTCAAGTTACCCAAGAGAATCAAACAGATTAATTGACCTTCCCGAGGACTACAGCAGCCTCATTAATCAAGCATCCAATTTCTCGTAAGTTTTGCACTGGAAATACCTTTCTACAAGGAGCCGAGGGCTTTGGCGGTGGTTTGTTTTGTTTGGGTAAGAATATCCTGCCATCAGCGGTGTGTGCCAGGATAAGATGCCGGGTCCTGGATAGAGGGGCGCTCTGATTCACAAGAGTCTGCCCAAGTAGGAGTAGCGCTCGCAGTAGCAGGTGCCCGTGGTTGTTTGTATACATCGTGTTCCTCCTACAAGCGTTTGAAAGAAGAGTACAGTAGAGGGAGAACTGAGCATTACCTGAACAGCTGAAGCCCTGGGTTTCTTGTCTCCGCTGCCGCCTGCTCTGTCCCCTGCAGCGGCCCCGTGCTGAGGGCACATTCCTGTTCCCACAGGGCCTTACATTCCCAAGCGGCACGTGTGACGGTCTTGCATATTTTAAACTTTATGTAACGGGCACCTCACTGTGCTTGTGCTGTAGGCTTGTCTCACTGCACAGCATTTCTGAGATCCGTCCGTGTGACACCGCTTGTTACCACTCCAGGGTGCTTCACTCTGTGACGCTAGCATAGAATGCATCTCCTTCTCCACGGAAGGTTTATGTGTGTGTTCTGCAGCTGTGACTCCCTGCGCGTTGCCAGTCTAATTTTCGTATCTGTGCCCTGCCATAGCGTAACTAGGATCCTTGCATCTCTGGCTGTACGTGACATGACCACGTTGTTTTCCAAGGTGGCTTCTCTACCGCCAGCTGCTGCTCAGTGAGCGATCACGTTTTGATTTATGGTTTTGTGTTTGCTCTTGGTCCCTTGGAGGTGTCCCAAGTCAGGCGGTGATAAGAGCAGGGCCCCGACGCTGTGCCTCGTGTGTGGAACGCTGCTGTGCTCGCAGAGCTACTGCTGCCAGACAGAGCTGGAAGGGGAGGACGTCGGCGCCTGCACTGCGCACACCTACTCCTGCGGCTCGGGCGCGGGCATCTTCCTGAGGTGAGGGCTGCCTGGAGCCGGAGCGCTCCAGCTGCCGCTTCGAGCCCAGCCTAGGGAACATGATTTAGCAAGACTCTCTCTCTCAAAATTAAAGTTAAATAGTGGTTAAAATAGCAGTACTTATTTTATGTGTAGGCTTACCTATGTTTTTCACATTTAGCACTGCTCTGAATTCTATTATTCGTGCACTCCGTTCTGTTCACGGTGTGGCTCCGTGGATTTGCAGTGTGTCATTACCGATGAGAGTACTGTCACCGTAGTTACTTGGAGAACTGGGCCACATGGGCTGGCACTTCCAGCATCTGTCTGCTGTCAGTGCTGTTGTCCTCTCCCTGGGTGGAGGTTGCTCATAGGACCCCCTCCCGCCCCGCCCCGGGTGGCCTGGACGCCGACCTCAGTTGCTAACATGCAGTATGTGATGATCTCTCTGCAGAGTACGTGAATGTCAGGTGCTATTTTTAGCCGGCAAAACCAAAGGCTGTTTTTATTCTCCTCCTTACCTTGACGACTATGGGGAGACTGACCAGGGACTCAGGTATGGCCCATCCTGGGATGTGCAGGGCTGTGTTGCCTGTGGCCTCTGCCGGCATGATGCTGCTCCCCGCCTTCAGACGCCCAGGGAGGGAGAGGCCGGGGTGCCTGGGAGTGCCGGAACTGCCACTTCCCGTCCCGGCTCAGAGCAGGACACGGGCCCATGCTCACACATGTGGCTCTGTTCAGGGGAGCCCCAGGGCCCTCCAGGTGACAGGAAAGAACAAATTTCAGTTGCTGAGCAGTGTGTTTGTCTCATGATTCTCTAAAGACCTGGAGGATGAAGATTTGAAGCAGGACAAGATATGACAGCATTTGCACTTAGCAGCTTCTGCCATTAGCTGGTGTGCTTCATAAGCAAAGTGCTAGCGGTCACCAGGCAGGATGAAGGCTAGAGGCCCAGGCAGGATAAGCAGAGGCACTGCTTCCAGCCCCTGGCGCAGGTTGTGCCCTCAGGCCGCCTGCCGCCTGGTGTGAGTGCTGCCCCCAGCCCAGCTCTGAGGAGAGTGGGCACACGGGAGAGGGCCCTGCATCACAGCCGGGGGACAGTGCCCTCTGAATGGGAAGCTAGGCCGGCTCAGGGCTGCGCCAGTGATGGACTTACACCCGGAGTGCTCACCTGGGGCCGCACTGAGACTCGGGGCTCAAGGCCACTTGCCCTTCCCCCAGGGTGACAGAAGAGCCTGAGCCTCTCTCCCCGACCCCGGCTCCCCTCGCTCGGGCAGGAGCTCAGGCGCTGCCAGCTGCTCTCAGCTGCGGAGCAGAGCCACGGTCGCCTGCTGGGCACAAACTGCACGGGGCCGCACGAGCAGGACGCGTCTCAGTGACACGTGTCTTCCTTTCAGACGGGGAAACCCTTTGCATTTGTGCAGCGAGCGATTTAAGAAGATCCAGAAGCTCTGGCACCAACACAGCATCACGGAGGAGATTGGACATGCGCAGGAGGCAAACCAGACCCTGGTTGGCATTGACTGGCAGCATCTATAATCGCTTCACCACCAAAACCCCCAACTTGGAATTTTGTAACCCGGTCAGCTTTTTAATGAAGAAAGTGGGAAATAGTTCTGAATTTCGAAATAAATTCTTTATTTAAGTTTTCCTTCCCAGTTTTATTTTTGTAGTTTCGGGCTCCAGGGACTGATGAAAATCCTCTCCCACCGCCAGATTTTCTTGGACTGTTGCTGTGTCCCTCGCGGGTCACAGGTCAAGTCTTCGAGCAGGGAAGCAGGAGCGGTGTCCGAGCGGCCGGGTCGTGCTGCCTGGCTCCTCTCGGTGCCTCAGCCTGGGGGCCGGGCGGGTGCTCCCCGCTGCCGGAGTCTACCTCGGAGAGCAGCCCGCAGGTGCCGAAGGTCGGCCGCGGCGGGAGCGCCTGCGCGGGAGGAGCCAGAGGCGGCCGCTTTCCTAGGGCGTTGCCGGGCTCTGCCCAGCTGCAGAGGGTTTTTGTGTTCTCTTTGGGGCAGGACTTCTGGCTTTGAGAGAACTCACTAAAAGGGCTTTTTGAAAACTTAAAAAATCTGCCATTTTTCAGGTAGTAATACTTCCGTGTTCTCCCCAAGGCCAGACTGAGTGTGTGTGCATCTAGGGTCAGACAAGCAGAACTGAGAGGGAGAACCCAGCGCTGCGGGCGCCCCGCCAGCGTTCCCGGGAGCAGGGGCTTCGGGCTTGCTTAGGGCTTCGGGAACAGTCTGCAGCCAGGCCTCCTGATCTTTTTAACCATCACTGTTCTTACTAAGAGGTGCCTTCCTAGAACAACAGCCGCTTAGTAAAAGCTTTATCACACAGCCACCCCCTACTGCTGTGTGCATCTTGGTCCCGAGTGCCTGCAGTGGGCTGGGAATGCTGCGCCTCCACTCTGCTCGGGACAAGTCAAAGGAACGGCAGAAGGATCTTGAGCGTCTCAGCCGGTGCAAGTGACCCTCTGACTCGGCGTCCATTGAATTCCTTTTCCACGTTGTTTCTCTCAGCTCTGCCTGCTCCCCCAGCTTCCTAGGAGCCAGAGCCCCATCTCTGCAAGAGTGCGTGTGACAGAGCCCCCTCTTCAAAGGATGGCCTTAACGAAAGTAACCTTTTGCTTGGGACTGGCTCACAAAGCTAAGAGGAATCCCACCAGGAAGAAACTCCAGATTAGAATCTGCATCACATTCCCAAATTTTTTCTGGCCTTTTTTTTTTCATTTGTAAAATCTGATTGGGCTGTGGAAAGAATGATTGCTGTTTATTTTGGGACACAGTTTCTTAGCCTTTGAGTTCAGTTTCTTTTCTGAACGGCTTTTCTCCGTACATTTGCCATGCCTAAAATCATGAGACCAGTTTTCTCCCCCTAAATGGGTTGTTACCATTGTCACCAAAGCTGACAGCGTGCCTGCCCTCAGGCCTGACCGCGTAGAGGCCCAGAGGCCTGGAGTTAGCGGAAGGTGTCCCTGGCTGCCACTCCCCGTGGGAGGAGAGTCTGGGAGAAGATGAAATTCTAACGTGCACACCCTTGGGCTTCCGGATGTTAAGTCAGCGGTCTTCCCTACCTTGCATCTTAGTTTTGCCATTCGTCCTGCATGTTTATGTTTATTGTAGAGATGTTTATATAACATGCTTTCCGTATCAGGGAAAATCCTGTTTAATAAATTGGCTCTAACTTTAATATCTGTGAACAACTTGGAAACTTTGGAATGTACCATATGTAAAAAGTTTTAAGATATCCAAATAAATACTTTAGGTGTTGACATTACTTTGGATTGGCCTACATCTCCTTCCTTTTCGGTTCCACCCTTCGGGGCCCAGCAGTGCCCCGTGTCACCTTGCAACAAAAGTGGGACATCCGTATTAGCGCGAAGCCTAAGAGGCTTATATCATTAGTGTCTGTTACAGCCACCAGCCGAGCCACCTTGACCTTCCCAGAGAAAGCTTAGTCATGATTTCAGCTGATTAAATTTCATGTTGTCTGTGACAGCTGTGTCTCTTCTGGACCGTTTCACACCGCACATCCCTGGCACACAAGGTCTCCTGAGAACTGGCCACACATTTCCTGCCTTTGAGCTGGTAGGAAGGAAGCTGTGTTTTATTTGCTGGCCTGCGAGACCTCTGCTGTCCTTTCCGGGAGCCTCCTCAAAGGAAGCCACCATACTGAGCTTCTTGCACATGAGACAGGGTCTCCCTGTGTAGTTCAGGCTGACCTCGAACTCACAGTGACCCTCTGCCTCAGCCTCCCAAGTGGTAGGATTACAGGCGTGCGCCACCGCGTGAGCTCCCTGCCCTTGTCACCACTTCCAGGACTCGGTAAGCCCCTGACGCAATCCTTGCTCTATCCCTACTGTTCTTTTAGGCCAGGTTTATTCCATGCATATTTAAAACTAAGATTAGCCCTTTTGGGCACAATTACACATTTTGACAAATGCACACAGTTGCTTAACAGTCGAGAAATAAAACAGTTCCATCACCCCGAATAGTTCCTTCACGGCCTTCCTGGCCAGCTGCTCTCCCTGCCCGCACCCCAGCTCCCACTACCCTGTCCCTGTGACTCCTAAACATTACGACAACGGAGCCGCGTCTTGCGCAGCCTTTTGGGCCTGGCACTGTGAAGAGGCTGCTGGTGCTTTGTACTGTTCCCTCTTGGCTGCCAGCTGATCCATCGTGCAGCTCCCTGCCGTCACCATGGGAAGGGCACTTGGTGACTCTGGTTGTTTTGTGATCACCACTACATTTGTGTGTAGGTTTTGTGTGGACCTGAACTATCCTGTCCCTTGAGCGAGTAGGTCGCTGTCCTATGTGCCATCCCGCTCTGCAGTGTCCTCAGCATAGCTGCTTTGTTCTGACTTTACTATCCTCCCAGCCTGTTCTGAATAAACCCCAGCGGGCATAAAGGACAGTCTGTGTCCCTCGGCACCTGAGGGGCAGCCCCCGTCCTCCCCACAGACGTGTTTCTGTCCCTGACAGGCCTGCCGTGGAGCTGTCATTTGACCCAGGCATGGAGGACAGGTCCTGGCTGGCTTGTTCCACCTCTGCCCCGGCTAAGCTGAAAACCTGCTGGCCTGGCATGGCCAGTGCCCTGTGAGGAGGGGCAGGGAGCGTGCCAAGCCCGCCTGTGATCCTATTAGCCATATCGAGGTTGCTTGGGGTTTACTTCCCAGGCCGCACCTCAGTCCTGGGCTTGTACACAGTCCAAAGGCCGCAAATGCCAGGGCCTGGCTGCCGGGTATCCATAAGCATGAGAGGCTGTTGCCTCCTGCTGTGCGGGGTGAGGGTTAAAAACAAGTCCTGAGACCCTGACTCTTGCCTCCTAACCCCACCCCGGAGCTAGGCCAGCAGAACCTTGAAAGCTGGCTGAGCGCTACAGGGGCGGCCCGCGTAGAGCACTTGCCTAGCAGTGTGAGGCCCTGGGTTCCATCCCCAGCACAGTGAAAGAAACAGGAAAGTAAATGCAGCTCCGATTCAAACCCTAAAAATGTTAGACACTTGGATGCCCTAGAGGCCGTCTGTTCTTGCAGGTAGGAGAGAGAAGCAGCGGCAAGAGGAGAGACTGACGCCCAGGCCGTGTGGTGCAGTGCTTCCCTTCAGGGCGGTGGCGGCACACGTGGGCGGGAATAACCCGTGCTGTGGGATGGGCTGAGAGTCACTTAACGAGAACAGTGTTCAGGCGGTATAATTTTAATATCGTACGCAGCTGTTGACAGCACAGTCTCACATGTGGCCTAGAGCAGCACTTACGTGGGTTCTCAGCACTCCCAAGACAGCGAAGCTTGGGGCCCTCGCTGGAGATGGCCAGCGGTGTGAACAGGTCCTGGGTCCTGGGGACATCGGCTCTACACTGCACTGGGACCAGAGTCTGGCGGGCTGTCAGACATCTTCGACCTGCTCTTCGGTGTGGGAAAAGTAGGGCCCAGAGCACGCCCTGGGCAGCACCCGACATCTCACTGTCCCTGTGCTGAAGCGTTTAGGTCAGCAGGGAGCCCCCGCCCAGCCCAGAGTGACCTGTTCCCAGCACCGGTGCGCCCAGGAGCACAGGCGTGAGTTGCAGGGCCCCTCTGCTACCTCCCAGCTTGTTTGCAGCCAGGTGGGAACGCGCTGCCCTGAATGTTCACCTAACCAGCACATCACGCGGAGCCCTGCCGTGCTATGGTGCGCTTCGCCCGAACGCTGCTCTCCCCTTCCTAAAGGAAGCAAAACCTCATGCAGGTGCAAGCCCAGGGAGAGAAAGAGGTCGTGTCAAGGACTCCTCTTTGAAGCCAGGTGTGGTGGCACATTGTGATCCCAGCTACTCAGAAGGCCGAGGTAGGAGGATCACAAGTTCAAGGCCAGCTGGGCAGTTTAGCAAGACCCCTGTCTCAAAAAGGGCTGGGAATACAGCTGAGGGACAGAGCACCTGCCTAGCATCCTGTGTGAGGCCCTGGGTTCACTCCTTAGTACCACTAAAATAAAAATATTTGATGCAGGATGGGGACCCGGGAAGAATCGGAGAAGCTCCCAGAGGACCCCTCACCCGCCACCATAGACAGTGCTGCCCGTGGGGGTTGTGACAGCCAGCTATGCTGGTGTCCGGGGCCCACCAGGGAGGCCTGGCGTGCACAGGGTGCCCTCCTGTCTGGCTGCAGGCCGTGGTCGGCACCTCGGGGCCGATGTGGCTGGGACCCGCCATGAGCCTGTGGGGTGAGCCAGCCAACGGCCTGAGAGCATGGCCCCTCCGCTGCGTGCTCCGTGGGTGAATAATCCCGTCTTGAAAGTCTCCCGAGCCGTGACTAAAGACTTCCTGTGGAGAGCTGTCAGCGCCGTGCAGAGCCTGTGACTCACAGAGCAGTAGGACTGGCATAAAACGACACCACACAATGGCCGGCCTGTCCACCTCGGCATCGACAGCACTGCTGCTGTTCGAGTTCTCAGGCTCCTGTGCTTCTGCATCAAGCATGTTTTGGATGTTGATAATGAAGCAGCGTGGAGCTCACAGCAGCAGGTTCTAGAGGGGGAGCCGCCCTCAGGCGAGGCCGGAGAGGGAAGGTGGGCCTGGGTGCGGCCCGAGAGGGAGGTGCGTCCGGAGCGAGCCAGGTCTCATTCATTCGCTTTGGGAGTCGGTCAACCCACCCGTGTCTGCCACATGCTTCAAGGGACCCTAAACGTGCATCGCACCACCAAGAAGAGGCCATGATGGGCTGTTCCCAGCGGCAGCCTTGAGGGAGTCAGACATGCAGTTGGGCAGGGGGGGGCCGCATTGCCTGGAGTCCACTACTCAGTGTTCGGGAGGGGACGGGTCCCCCTCAGCCGGCCTCGGCGGCCTGGCCTGCGTCCGCGCCCTCGGCTTCCACCTGGTTGCCCTTGCCCAGCTTTTTCAGGCTCTCCAGGAAAGCCTTCCAGGTCTCGGGCACGCTCTTCTCCAGCAGCCAGCCCTCGCTCTCACACTCCGGGTCCTCGGGGTTGGACACGCTCTCCAGCGCCGTGTGCAGGTAGCGCAGCCCGACGGTGATGGCCACCTGTGGGGCAGGACCAGGACGGGGGGGGGAAGTGGGCGGGAGCTAGGAGTTGGGCCGGTAGGGGCCAGGAGCTCATCCGCCCATCCCCCCGGGAGGGTCCAGGGGTTTAAACGGGGGCAGTCAAGTCTGGCCTCATGCCTAAGGCACCATGCTTATCCCACCTGTCTCAGCCTCCCAGGGCTGCTGTGGGTTCCCCTCACCCCGTCCTCTCCCCACTCTGGCTCTTCACCCATTAGCCCATCAACTCGCCCCTGCTCCTGAGCTGCCTGCCACAGCCCACCCTCCTCCCATCCCCCGATCCTGGGTTCCAGTCCCCGCCCCATTCCCAGCACATTCCTTGGCATATTTTGGCTGTTGGGTGACTTCGGTGGATAGGCTTTAAAAGTCACCTCCTTAGCTAGTGCACACCTGTAATCCTAGCACCCTGGAAGGCTGAGGCAAGAAGATCACACTTTCAAGCCCAGCCTGAGTGAGACCCCAAAACAAAGTTTTCTAAAAGGGCTAGGAATGTAGCTCAATGTGAAAGCTCTGGGTTCAATCCCCAGTACTAGGGCTGGGAATATAGCTCAGTGGCACAAGCACCTGCCTGGCAAGCGCAAGGTCCTGAGTTCGATTCCCAGTTCAAAAAAAAAAAAAAAAAATCCCCAGTACTGCTAAAAAGCAGTCATCTCTCTCCTGCAGACAGTCTCCTGTGGTTCCTCTGTAGCCGTTACTTTGACTGAGGAGTAGGGACCAGGAATAGACAACTGGATTTGTTCATTGTGATGGCTTCTGGTGAGGAAGCCGGGCTTCACCTGGGCTGCCAGTTTTCAGGAGAAGCAGCACCTTGGTCACGTGGCTTGCGCTGCCTCAGTAGGTGTGGAGCCCGTAGTCCCAGGGGGGAGTAGCACCTGATGCTAGTGACTGATAGAACTGTAGGTTTTGTTTTTATCAATTCCAAGTGTAAATGGATAAAGAAGATGGGGGGTTATGCCATGGAGTACTACTCTGCCATAAAGAAGGATAAGCTTGAGACATTCTTAGGTAAATGGATGCATTGAGACCATACTGGTAAGTGAAATAAATGGGACACACGTGTGTAGATACTGCATGGTTTCTATGGTGTGAGAAACCAAAAGTGTGGAATAAGGGTCAATCGCAAGTGTAATGACGTATTTTACACTGGAAAAAGTCGCCTCCTCCAGCAAGCCTGGGTGGTGTGAGCACACCCACTCTGGAACCCCTGCCTTCCTAAAAGAGCCCAACGTATGATCAGCGCTGCCCTTCATGATGACCACACTTTGGCTCGCAAGTCTGATGTCATCCTCCCCCGTGTGCCTGTCACAGGTCTGCCCATTCAGGCTTAGAGGAAAAGTCAGGGCGTGCAGACTCCCTGGCCCCAGCGAGCTGGCCCGTCTCATGCGGTCACCAGTCCCCGTACAGGTGGCGAGAGGCAGTGATGGCCCGCAGCCCCCTGATTTCTGCTCCCCTCCCGAGCTTCCTGTGCTGGGCTGGGGTCCTGTTCTCCAGCCTCCTAGCAGTGAGCTGCACCCCTTTCTCCCCCTCACCCCCTGACTCTGCCTCAAGGAGCAACGACCAGTAAATGGACACAGTGTCTGCCTGGACGCCGGAGAAGCCTCCGGGCACAATGGCCACCTCTCCTTCCACGTGGGCATGGCACACCCTGTGAGTGTCCACAGCCCGGGTCCCCACCACCACCTTCACTGCCGGTCACCCGCTCACCCTGGTTCAGCACCTAGAACAGCGCCCTGCCCGCCTCCGAGTTGAATTCCTGCAGGAGCCCTGAATGAATTCAGCGCATTCCAGGGCTCGCTAGGGTCTGGCTCTAGAGCCCCGGGATGGAGGTTAAGCCTTACAGAGGGGGCGGGGGTGAACCTGAAGATGATTAGGGTTACCACGGAAGTTCCCGAACACCCAGTGTGCATATCACTGCCCCGAGTCCCCACCCAGAGCTTGGTGCTGCCATTCCCCTGTGACAGAGATCAGTCTACTCTCGGATGGAGGGTGAGCCTCCAAGACCTGCTGGGTGAAAGGAGCCGAGCGAAGCAGGTCTCCCTCTGTGGCACAGGGACAGCAGAGACACGGGGCCCAGGGCTGGGTGGGGAGGGAGGGAGAGGAGTTCTCTGAGTTGATGGAAATGTTTCTTTGTTTTTTTGTCGTTCTGAGACAGGGTCTCGCTATGCAGTTCAGGCTGGCCTTGAGCTCACTTTGTAGCCCAGGCTGGCCTCGAACTCGCAATGATCCTCCTGCCTCAGCCTCCCCAGTGCTGGGATTACAGGTGTGCACCACCATGCCCGGCTATGGAAACGTTTAGAACTAGAGGCAGCAGTCACATGATGTGAATGTCCCGAGGGCCACTGAATTGTATACTTACTGTGGTGACTTTGTGTGCTCTGCATTTCACCTAAAGAAGTTACTTTTGTAAGTGGAGACCCTGAAGTCTGAGCCTGGTGCTCTGTCCCCACTCTCCTCCTGCTGAACCCCAGGGGCTCCCTCTGCCCCCCACCATCTGCCAGCGGGCTGACCTCAAAGAGCCACACAAGCAGCGTGACGATGCCCATGGAGCTCATGAGGCTGCCGTAGTAGCCCAGCAGGGCGTCCCTGCAGCCCCGCAGCCACAGGTTGAGCTCCTCGGTCTGGTGGTCGTAGCTGTAGTGTGCGGAGTTGTTGGTGAGCTGGTACTGGATGCAGGGCCGCGGCGAGCTGGGGTTGCAGCAGCTGAAGGGCACCCCGTCCACCAGGTACCGCCCGTCCACGTTGCTCTTGATGCGGCTGCGGGGAACAGACAGCCTGGTGAGAGCTTCAGGGCTTCCTACCCGGCACCTGCTCCCACCACCCTGCTGCTGGAAACCTGCGCCTCCGCCCGTTCACTCCCTCACTCACTCATCCACTTGCTGTGCCCCCGCCGTGTGCAGCCCTGGTGCTGGGCACGGCCCCTGACCGTGCCTTTCCGGAGCAGATGGGAACCCATGAGGTGGATAAACAGGAACACAGACAGCCAGCAGCCCCTGCGTCTGGCCGGAAGCCAGGGTGGCCATGGACGAGGCTCTGCCCGGCACTCGTGACTGTCAGGGTTTGGGCCCAACCCCTCGCCAACCTCATCTCCCCTTGTGGGATGGAGGCCAGCAGACGCAGCCTGGTCCTGGCCCCGCCCGGTGGTAGCTCCTTTCTCCCCCGAAGGACGCCCAGCTCCCTGGGTTGCCCAGCTGACAGGGAGGGCTCCCAGCGGCTTTTGCATTTCTCGGTTTATGCAGTTTTTAGAGTACATCATACCTCACAAGGTTCAGAATGCAAAAGGCACTTTCCAGTGGACGGTCTCCCAGCCCACAGGCAGGCCATGTGTTCTACCCGACCTATGGTCATCCTGGGTGTCTCTTGTAAAACTCCTCAGGCCACACTTGGGATTTGCACACTCAGCTGTGTGTCCGTTGTCTCTAGTAAAAGCTGCCATGGAGCCATGCAGTACTCAGGAGCAGCAGACTTTTACAGCACAAGGACAGAAAGCATGTCACGGTGCAAAGCAGAAATCATTGTACACTTGCAAATACAGAAATGTGTCGTTAATCTCACTCCAGATGCAAGGGCTTACTGTGCCTGCTATTTCCTCTGCGGCCCAGTGAGATTTCAGTGATGGTATCTCGACTGTCAGAGCAAATCTGTACCGCTCAGGCCTTGTGTACCATGGCCAGTATGCAATATATGAATCACATCCTTGTCAATAAAACCATCAGCATGTAAAAGAGGAAAGTTGGGCATGATGGTGCACACCTGTAATCCCAGCACTCAGGAGGCTGAGGCAGGAGGATCACTGTGAGTTTGAGGCTAGTCCAGGCTACCTGTTGAGTTCAAGGCCAGCATGAACTATATAAGGAGACCCTGTCTCAAAAAAAA